ATTGATATCAAAAGATTCAAATCATGCAATGGTAAAGATCAACAGCCTCCAGTAAACCAAGATAGCTATGGAAAATAACTGGTTGGTGGTTGAGCCCTACCCCCCTGAAAAATATGAAAGTCAGTTGGGATGATGAGATTCCCAATATGTGGGAAAATAAAAAATGTTCCTTAAACCACCAACCAGCTAATCATGTTGCATTAGTCATAGAATTGGATGATGGGAAAATTTAAACCGGAAAACCCTATATTTGATGGAAAAAAACATGGTTTCCGGTTAAGATTTTCCCTTAAACCAATCCAGTGAATTAGAAAATTGTTTATAAATACTACACTACCAGAGGGTACCCAAAAAGAAAGTGGGCAGCATCCAGCAACGGCGCAACGTGGCAACGTGGACGACTCGCACCTGAGAATCTGCCACCAAGATCAGCACACCATCCTCGATACCATGGGTCGATGGAAGATGTTTATGGGATACCCTCTGGTTATGTAAGAATAGCTATTGAAAATGCCCATTTATAGTGGATTTTCCCATGAAAAATGGTGATTTTCCATAGTTATGTGAGTTTACCAGAGGGTATTGACCATCAAAGTAATGGAATATGGGGGAATTTGATGGTATATGGGTAATAGGGGAATCAATGGAAATATTCAATGAAGTAAGTATCCCAATAAAGTAAAGGAAATTGATGGAATATCAATGGTATGTTCAGGGAATTTGATGAACTAAGTATCCCAAGAAAATATTCCAATGAAGTAATGGGGGAATCAATGGAATATGTTCATTGGTTTTCCAGCCACATCCAGATTTTTGTTCCACTTATCATGCGGGTTGGCTCAAATAAGTATGACCCTCTGGTAATCAAATGTGACTGGAAACTGCTGGATCGAGGCTTTGTAGCTGGGAACATCATCGACAAGTCGTGATTTTCCATTGCCCAAAGTCTTCTGGAAACAATCTGCATGTAGTTTTGGCTGAAGAACTACGATCTATGGCTTACAATGGGTATACATAAATCATCATATGAGTGGCGGACAAAATTGCTTAATACCCGCAATGGACATGGCCAAAGTGTGTGGTCCCCTATCAGGCCCTATCGGTTGTGAGTGTTTTCGCACAAATTTGAACATCCCATGTCTTTAGTCTTCCCCTCATTTTGTCGTTTACTCATATATCTATAGCTAGATGGGCCAACACAAAGCAACAAACAAACACTGTTTGGTGGTTTCAATCTATATCAAAAAATATCAGTCAGTGGGATCACCAGACCATTTCAAAAAGGTTGTTATTCGAATGAAGCAATCATTAACGACCAACATTCGAAACATCATTTTTTTGCTGCATAACATTGATATACCCTCTGGTAAACTCACATAACTATGGAAAATCACAATTTTCAATGGGTAAATCCACTATAAATGTGCAATTTTCAATAGCTATTCTTACATAACCAGAGGGTATTAATAGCTATAGTCGAAAGTCTTGTTGTGGCATGTTGTGGGTGAACTTGTTCCATCCGTTTCCCCCATCTTGCCAATGGCTTTCCATGCCGGAAACCCATGGATTTGCCGCATGTAGACGTACCCCGAAATAGATTGAACACTACCCTGGGCAAAAAAAAATAAGTAAACTTGCTAAGATACAATATACATCCTTCAAACACGGGTGCAACTGCAACAAAAATCTTTGTATCCTATTAAAACTTCCCAGTATATTCACATGGAATCACTATTATCAAAAAAATATTCCCAGTTTGTGTCATGTTTGTTTCATGTATGTGTATATATATGTATTATAAAGCTCTTTTGAGGTCAGGGATGTATTTATAAAAGGGTATCTAAACATAGCTATCCCCTGGGTTCAGGGTGTATATATATATATACATACATATAACTAGAGTTGGGATCTATACCCTCTGGTAATTTAACATAACTATGGACAATCTCCATTTATATATAGTTTTCCCATGAAAAATTGTCAGTTTCCATAGTTTTTGTATGTTTACCAGAGGGTATGGTTTATAAACCATAGTAATTTGTTCGATATATCTACCACAAGCCCTAGTTGTTGTAGCTATGGGATACCACCTTGTACATCAATGGGGTATTAATAGGATAATAACCATATGTATATCCATACTGATTCTTCTTGCATCACGGTGGATCGGTGAGTGGAAATGCACGGCCAATGTACGGGCAAGCGACGGCCAGCGCCCAGACTCTCTTGGCCTTTAAGGGGTCGAGTTTCCTCGGTGGGACACAGGTCAAAATCTCAAAAAACGGGGGAATCTTTACAAGGTGCCAGCCAGAGATACCCTCCGGTAATTTAAGATAGCTATTGAAAATTGCCATTTAGAGTGAGTTTTCCCATTAAAAATGGTGATTTTCCATAGTTATGTTAGCTTACCAGAGATAAGTTGGTTGATAGAACCCTATATGTCCATTGTCCTATAATCCCTAGTCAGGCTAGTTATGGCTAATTCATGCAAATTCTATTGATGTATGCTTATCTTTGGTATTCACAATTCATTTGCGACTTTGTCAAACATCAATTCAGAAAGGAAAAATGCTAAGGAACATCAGTTTCGACTGATGGGGACTGGTTGCAATCCAACTACTCGCAGGCTCTAGGTCTATGACCCTGTCCTGTCACGGGATCAGCGCATTGGCTGCACAAAAAAAGCTCGGTCGGCAGATCCAGAGTTCCAGGCCCAAGACTTAGTTCTTATTGGGCCTGGAAAGAAACCGGTTCTGCGGATCGAATGCAATTGAGGAACTGTTCGAAAATGTTTGAAACACCCCTTGCTCAAGAGCACTTGAGAAGAGGTTCTCCGCACATGTCACTTTCAACCAGACTCGATTAGCAGGAAGGGTGGGGAGCTTCAACTTTTGTTGTCTTCGGTCAGGGTACATTTCAAGATCATCTCCGGCTCACTCTGCTGTTCCGGGTCCACTGTCAGACAGACCTAGTGACATTTTTTTGGAATTTTGTTTGATAAGCCCTTGTTAGTAACTCATTACAAAGTCCCATACTCCAACATTACATCCAAGCTAGAATATTTGCTTGTACCCTCTGGTAAACAAACAGTTTGCTATTGAAAATTGCCATAGAAATAGTGAGATTTCCCATTAATAGCATGGTGGATCTTTCCATCGTTTTTTGTTAACGTTTTACCAGGCCGGGTACATCATCTTCCAGCCATGATACCCTCTGGTAAACGTTTACACAACTATGGAAAATCATCATGCTATCAATGGGTAAATCCACTATTTCTATGGACAAATTTCAATGTCGCAAACTGTAAACGTTTACCAGAGGGTATCATAGTTTTGTTGGTGATATACATGATATTCCATGATATTCCATGATATTACCATAGTTATATATACCATTCATAGAATTGGATGATGGGATTTTTTTAACCGGAAACCCCTATATTTGATGGTAAAAACCCATGGTTTTCGGTTCAATTGCAAACTGATGGTAATTTGAAATTTCACTGGCGGAAACAAACTCTTCACAGGTGGGTTCAGCGGCCACAGCATGCCACGGCCACAGGTGGGTAGCGCCGAGTAGTGCCTCCCATCATAAACCGCAGCTTGTAACATTGTTCTCCAGTTACCAAAAAACATACTTCCCAATCGTCAAGGTGAATATATACAGTATATATACATTAATGTATAATATATATATACACATTAATTTATATTGACCAGTTACCATCGATATAAACATTGTAATGAAAATAGGATAAATATACAAATATGGCTATGTCATTTTTATTTCCATTGCTTGCTGTTTCAATCCTCAAAATCTTTTGGTAGATTCCAAAAGATTTTTTGGCAAACCCATTTTCATTGTTTCAATTTTAAGAACAAAAGAACAAACGATTATTCAGACAAAAATTGTCCAAAAACCAACATCAATGAGCCCAATACAAGCCAAAAACAAGCGCACGATAGGATTTTGAGGAACGTTTTGGAAACTGGTAAAGTCTAGATGATCTCTAGGATAGCTAGGAAGTCTAAGATATCCGTTATTTCGACTTGACTAGAAAAAAAAGTATGTTATAATCGTCTCACTTGTTTACAAGAATTGCAAATTGTTTTTATTCTGTGATTTAAATCTTTCTAAAAAAACACACACACACACAACAATTCCGGTGTGGGAACAGGATATCTGATAACAAACGGTAAGTAGACTGTAAATTGCATGGAACTGAGATATTCGCTAGATATTCTGTGGCATCACCATATTATGGCTAGATATATCTGGTTGTATAAACGATCAATCCAACATTTCCCATAAAAACTCCCATTTCATCCAACTAAAAGACCATATTATGCAAGGTGGTGCCCCATAGCTACTTACGTTGGCTAAGCTCACTAACATTCCAATCAGGCTTATGGTAGATATATCTATAGTTCATAGGCTTTTCTCATATTATATCAAACATAAATCAAATATATCCGACTATCTCCCATGATAACCAACTCATAATCATACTATCCCATAGTATGCGCCTTTCTTGTCGCTCACCAGATTTTAGCTTGTTAAATCCCATGTTTTGGGATGAATCTCAATTCCAACATGGGAGAGTTTGCTAAAATATAATCCGATTGATGGTTATAGCATGTTTACAAAATTAGTTATATCCTGATTGTTGCTTACATCTGCATTTCATCCCATGAATTCTTGTTGATGAATCATCTGGTTGGTGGTTGACCTACCCCTCTGAAAAATGATGGAGTTCGTCAGTTGGGATGATTATTCCCAATATATGGAAAAATAAAAAATGTTCCAAACCACCAACCAGATTCTATATATGTTTATGTATATTATCAACTATCATATATTACCATAGACTTATATTACCCTATATTACACTAGTTGGATTATCCCATTATTTGCGTTGGGTAAATCACAATTTCGTTGGGTCAATCCCCAACCGAACCAACCGAACTGGTTCGGCGTTGCTCCACTGACTCCACCAAGGATCGCCACAAAGTCCTCCGCGTCATTCTTCACCAGCAGCGCGGAAGAGCACAGAAGGGCCCATGACTCGCCTGGCAAAACAACGAAGCCAAGGCAAGGGGTTTTCCATGGGATTTCATGGGTATAACTATGGTAATATTTCATGGGAATATCATGGAATGGAATATATCACCAACAATATTGGTATATATCATTTTATCATTTTCCATTATCATTTTATCATTCTATATACTAGTTTTCCACAATAAATTGATAATGGATATCATTCATGTGGCCCCCATGAAGCCAACAGACTGGTCCAATTTGTCGAAATCAGAGATAATGGGGATAGAAAGGAATAGATATCATACCCTCCGGTAAACGTTTACATAGCTATTGAAAATTGCCACAGAAACAGTGGATGTTCCCATTAACAATGGTGATTTTCCATAGTTATGTTAGTTTACCAGAGGGTAGGCATTATGATCAATGGCCATTTCAGGAACCGATTGATTAGAGATACCTACCATATATAAGGCCTATTGTTCAGGCCTAAATTTCAGGAAATATCCCCGCAAAATATGGCCAGAAATATGGTACGTTTACGTACCTCCAATTTAGGATTCTGTTTTATTACCATTGATAACCATCATTAACCATCATTAACCATTATTAACCAATTTAGGATCCTGAAGATCTCCCATTGATATGTGGCAGGTGTCATAATCAGATGATCATCAATACTTATGCTCCATGTATGGTATATTTACCTATTTATCAAATTCCCAATGACCATCAGATATGATGGGATTTAACCAACATCATGGCTATTCCTAACGGCTTTTTTGGATGAGGAATGCTGATACTTCATGGGATACGAATGGATTTTTCGCCGGAATCTTGGAGGTTCACCGACAAAAAAAGAAACCAATCATGGGATTAAACGGAGATATACCATCTGGTTATTTAATATAGCCATGGAAAATCACCATTTTTAATAGGTAAACCATCTATAAATGGGCCATGGCTTCCATGGCTATGCTAGTCATAACCAGAGGGTAACTCGATCATCAAAGATACAAGTATTGTTTGAGTGATGCGATTGATATCTCCATGAATTAAAGGGATACTTGGTGGTTCATCCCACGAATCGTTTTTGTGCGTGAACGATTCACCCCAGTGGATTACGTGGATTTACCATACAACCCCACATAAATCACTACAAGGTGGTGCCCCCCCAGTTATAAATGGGTTATAATCCCATTAACTATAGATATAACACGTATAAACCATAGCTATTGGACTTATAAACCAACTTAGCTATCGAACTGGGGCACCACCTTGTAGGTGGTTAAGCCACAAACAGTATATATGTGGAGCCACAAAGGATACCGGCAAATTAACATAGATGTGGAAAAGCCTACAAGCGAAAATTGTCAGCTTCAGCCAGGTTCCCTGAAAGAAACCTTTTTGGAACATGTTTGTGTTTATGAATAGGGCTAATCTTAACCACCAACAACCATTGCTTGATGGCTTATCAACCATCTAATATCAGGGCATATCAGGGCTGACCCGTAGGGGGGTTAATTCATTACCATATAGATGGTATAACATAAATCACTGGGGTTATAACCCACAAAAACTAAGTGGGATGAGCCACCAAGGATACCCTACGGCAAATTAACATAGATGTGGAAAAACCCTAGTTATAACTTATTTAAAACCAAGTGGGGTGAACCACCAAGTAATAAGGTTCTTAAAAGCTGCGACCGACCTGATCGACCTGAAAAGTTGAGAAACCTGTGCGCTATAAACTCGGGGCTGGCCTTTACCACGGTAGTGATGGTGATTTACTGGGGGAGATGGTGGGTATTAATGGATTCAAAGGTTTTCCATAGTCATGGGGGGTACCCCCAAATGGTTGTTTATAATGAACAATACCACTAAAATGGATGATTTAAAGAAAATATAACGGTGTTTCCATAGTCAAGGGGGGGGTACCCCAATAGCTGGATGGTTTATAATATGTTATTTCATAGAAAATCATATGGAAATGAATGATGTAAGGGTACCCCTAATTTAGGAAACCTCCATAATATGATAGAGAACCAGCTAATGTTCAAAACCTATGTTGTACTTTGTAACATGGGGTTGCTTGATGATAAAGAAGGGAAACCCTCTGACCCGACCAGTATAGTATAGAGGGGTATACTGGGAATATGGTTTCATTTTTATTTGGGTATACACTCTGGTTATTTAACAGTTTGCCATGGTATAGATGACCCATTTATAGATGATTTTCCCAGCTATAAACCTCCATATATGAGGGGTTTTCCATGGCTATGTTAAACAACCAGATGGTAATGGAAATATCGTCGGATATAGTCAGCAAATAATTATGACACTCAATGGATACCCTCTGGTAAACGTTTACGTAGCTATAGAAAATCACCATGCTATTCATGGGTAAATCCACTATTTCGACTGGGCCATTTTCAATAGCTATTCTTACATAACCAGAGGATATAGCAAATAATTATCCGATGAAAATGGATAGTTAAGAACAGCCTAAATAGATGATTTTCCCAGCTATAGCTCATCATAAACTATCCATTGAGCAAATAATTATGACACTCAATGGATAGTTTAAGAAACAGCCTACAGGAAAGCATTGAAACGCTCGAAAATCGGTGGGATATCTCGGGATGATCAACTCTGGAAAACATGAGTCACTTGGGATGACATGACATTCCCAAGATTTTCTGGGAAAGTCATTCAAAATTCCATGGTTCCAGTCACCACCAACCAGACTATATTGTTATTCCAATTATTAACCATTATTAACCATTAAACCATAGATTAACCATGGATTAACCATAGATTAACCAGGAAAATTGCATGGTTCCAGTCACCACCAAGCAGAACTGCTTGGACTAGTCCTGGTTGGCTTTTACGAAAACAAATCAATTGGTTGATGATTTTTTTCCCTACCCCATACAGGATGGGGGCCCCCAGATATAAGTCTGTTTTTAAACCATAAATAACCCCCATGAATACTGTAGTTATATCTACCATAAACCATAGAATTCAGCCACTTATAAGGCAACTTATAAATCTTGGGGGCCCCATCCTGTAGGATCCATGGTGCTGGTATATGAATGCTAACATAAAGGGGGTATATTGATGGGATCCATGGCACACCAAACAAATAGCAGCACCGTTAGGATCCGTCATGGGTACGGGTTAATTCATCATCCCCGCAAAAAGAAAAAAAAAACATGGTCAATTCTTGGTAGTTCACAAAAAATCATGGTCATCTTTTTGGCTGTTTATCTGGTTGGTGGTTTTAACCATCTTGAAACATATTAGTCAATGGGAAGGATTATCCTATATATTGTGGAAAATAAACAATGTATGAAACCACCAACCAGTTATGGTGGTTTTCCACTTACAGCAAAAACTAAAGGATTTTTTTACTACCTACCCTCTGGTAATAATTTGTTACAGTTTGCAACTGGAAGCCATGGCCCATAGAAATTTCGTTGATTTACTCAGCTAGAAAATGATGTTCCAGTTCGGAAACTGTTTACCATAGGGATGTATCCATGAACATCCCAGGTCCTGGATTTTGGTTAGTGCAATTCTCACCCGCAGCCATTGTCAGCCACCTGCGCCGCATGGCCCATCGCGTGGCCCATCGTTTTGATGCTCCAATTGGGAGAACGTACCTCAAAAGGCAAGGCGGTGCAGGGATGCTGGAAAGAAACATGGTCAATGTCAATAATCTATGTCTATAAATGGAGATTTGATGGGTCATATGACATATTATATATATACACATATCAATTTTATATATATTATGAATTCAATTTTATATGATGTACATGTTGTATATAATAGGATGTAATGGTACATGGCATAACATTACAAATGCCCCATGTACGGAAGATTTGCAAACATGTTCTTCAGAAATGAAGCACATGTGGGTAACTATACCAAACACAGAGCGTATGGGATGGTTAATCAGTATATACCCTGCCCCATGTTTTGTATCTAGCTGATTTTGGCTGGCTGAAATTAAACCCATTAAGCTATCAAACTAAGGTTATGTGCTCATTAATTTGGATTTGGCACAATTACTATGATAATTCACCAACACGAACTGGCCCAAGCAGATTGTCGGACTCCGGTTCACCCTGTTAATCCTAGTCAGAGATTTTTGCTACAGGGGGCGACTGTTTTCACTATGTGACGCCCCCCAGTTATAGTTGGTTATAAAATGTTATAAACCCCATTCACTATAGCTATACCCTGCATAAACCCGAGTTGATCAAGTGTTGAGTCAAGATAGTAAAAACCATGACTTCCTCTAGATGTTTAGTCTTAAATCATCCCATTGAATTGTACTCTCTGGTAAACTAACATAACTATGGTAAATCACCATTTTTAATGGGAAAACTCACTATAAATAGCCATTTTCAATAGCTATGTAACAAATTACCAGAGGGTACATCCCAAAGTGATTTTTTCAATTCGCAGCATAGAAAAATCCTCCCAAATCGACCATCCAAGGCCTGGAATACGCGACCTGGGACCCCGTGGATCAGCAAGTTGATCATTGATCAAGTGGGGTTCCGCTTCTCAACTTGGGCAGTTCAAGCTATAAGTGGATCTATTCCCTCTGGTTATGTCAAAATAGCTATTAAACATGGCCATTTATAGTGAGTTGTCCCATTAAAAATGGTGATTTTCCATGGCTATGTAAACGTTTACCAGAGGGTAACCAGAGCTATAGGGGTTACCCTCCGGTAAATCATAATGGCGTGCTACAAAAACCCCGCATTTCCAAATGAGTTTCCCAGCGAACTCAACCTCCATTGATAGGGGATTCCCCAGCCATGCTTGATTACAGGAAGGTACCCTCTCTGGTAATTTGTTACATAGCTATTGAACATGGCCCATAGAAATAGTTGATTTACCTATTAAAAAACCGTGATTTTCCATCGTTTTTTGTAAACGTTTACCAGGCCGGGGTATATCCCAATTTATGGAGGTCACAGTCTCCAACACAACCCCATGGCCCCATGGCGCACATCGCACTGCTTGAAGGATCTTGGAGGGAACCTCCAGAAGTTTTGACATCGGATGGAGACTCCGATATGTCTGACCGCAACTGATGGTCATTGGGAATTTGATAAATAGGTAAATATACCATACATGGAGCATATGGGTATTGATGATCAACTGATTATGACACATGCCACATATCATTGGGAATTTCAGGATCCTAAAATGGAGGTACGTAAGTACCATAAGGCAATATTTTGTGGTGATATTCCCTTACATAGCCCTGAAAAATAGGCCTTATATATGGTAGATACCTCCAATTTAGGTTCCTGAGATGGCCCGTGATGATGTGGTGTTACCCAACAGGTTTCAGACAGGAGAAATAAAGACGAAACGCAGGAAGGTAGAATTGACTATCAACTGCAGTACTGTACTACTTGAAGTGGTTTCAAGCTGGAACAACATCTGCTTTTCATTGGGGGTCATCATCACATTTGGATGAACAAACACAACAATGTAAAAATAGAACAACCAAATCCTCAATCATTAGGAAAAATAAAAACATATTGTGTCATGGGATCACCATAAAATATTTTCCAGCTCCACAAGATCAATCATTACAATGTGGGGCCCCCAAACGAATTCGCTAAGTTGGTTCATAACTCCAATAACTATGGTTTATGATACGCAAATAGCTATAGTGAATGAGGATTAATGAGGTCTATAAACCAAATGTATGGTATATAGCTATAGTTAATGATACGCAAATAGCTATAGCATTCATGGGGTTTATACACCAATTTATACTGTAATTGTTGCTGCATTGTAGGCTTCAGGGTCAGCATCTGTGGCGCACCTTGGAATTTCCCAGGTTGGAGACCTGAACCATCCCAGGCTCGGAGAAAACTGGTGCGTTTTACGCAAGGAATTTTCGGGAATGATCCACTGGCTAACTATCAATTTCATCATCCAATGAAAACCCCCAGCAACCCATCCAGCAACCCTACGTAAAACGCACCAGTAAGGTTTTTTGTTTTTGCATGATGTTTTTTTGTTAGTGTCTCCCTCCCATCTTGTGCTTAAGAGGCATCAAGAACGCTTGGCATTCCCTTTTATTTACACGCCGTACTGAAATCTGAAATCTAGTCTGGAGCCGCAAATCAGGAACCAACGTAAATATCAAGTAAGTCAGGAATCTAGTGTGGATCCGTACTGAAAATATCAAGTAAGAAAACAACGTACACACTGATCAGGAACCCACATATATTGTTGGGTTACAGAATTTGTACCTACACATGGATCAAATGGGGATGGGTCAAAACCATGTACCCCTAGTGAACCCCAAAATAGCTGGTAAATGGATGGTCATCCCACTAAAATGTATCTATAGGTATTGACCCATACCCAAATGGCACTCCATGAAAACCACAGATGAATTGACTATTTTTTGCCGCGACCATTTTCTTGAAACCATCCCATTTCCCAGCGCTGCAACTCTGATCCATACCCCAAAAGCGTCCAAGGATCAGGTAGGAATCATATTCCATGGCATTCTTTTGAGTTCTATGTCAGTTTTTCGCGCATGTAGAGCATGAAACATGTTTACTTTCTTACTGTATATCTATACATATATCTACAAGATGGTGCAACCAGTTTGTTAGCTAAGTTAGGTTGTGACAGTTGTAACATGTCATGAGGAATAAACCTACTGGGTTTGTTGCAATCCACTGCCAAAGAAGAGAAGATCCCACTGCCACCAGGCTTTCAAATGAGCAGTGGCTGCTAAACGCACCATGAATTTCCATTACATACTGGTTGGCTAAGAACGGGATTCCCAGTTCATGGTATGATAATCCATGATAATCCATGATAATCCATGATAATCCATGATAATCCATGATAATCCATGATAATCCATGATAATCCCCAATACATAATTTAGTGGCTACTATAATACCCAAACTGATCAAGCAACCATCATTTATCAATGACCATTTGTTTGACGGTTCGACTCTCATGAACCGGCATGAAATCACTAACTGGTTGGTGGTATACCTACCCCTCGATTATACTAATAATAGTGGTTATAATACCAATAATAGTGATTATATATGGATATATGATGGGATTATAGATATAAAATAACTGGTTGGTGGTTGAGCCCTACCCGTCTGAAAAATGATGGAGTTCGTCAGTTGGGATGACATGACATTCCCAACTGAATGGAAAGTCATTAAAATTCCATGGTTCCAAACCACCAACCAGATTCTATACATGTTTATGGATATTATCAATTATCATATATTACCATTGACTTATATTACCATATATTACCATAGTTGGATTATCCCATTATTATTTAGGAGTTCCAATGAACTAACAATGTGAAATCACTAACAATCATCAACCAAGACGAGTTCCAGCAGACACTGCTCAAATGCTTATTTTTCGTGAGACGATCCCGCAAGTACATTCATTGAACTGCCAAGTTTGTCTCGACGCCATGACGTGGCTAACAGTACCCTCTGGTAAATCAACAGTTAGCTATTGAAAATGGCACATTTATAGTGGATTTACCTATGAAGAATGGTGATTTACCATAGTTATGTTAGTTTACCAGAGGCTAAATATTGAATGGATTTAGCAAGAGCACCTGCAAACAGACAATGTTGATACTCCTGCAAGTGTTATTTACAATTTGTCTCCACCTGCAAAACACCTCGTGTTGAGTTCATGATCTGATTACCAACTATGTTCCCATCGCAATTGCAAACACATATATAATCCATTCACATCAAGTAGTCTACCGAAAGCAACAATGGTGACTGAAAGTAAAGTGGTCTGTAAACCCGATGGCATTAAGCACCCCTTAGTTTTCTCTTAAGTGGGTTGTGTAGACGATCTCCACTCAGATGTTTATTGCTTCGTTTACCACATCACCCCTATAAAATGCTCAGATTTTGAATAACCATCATATTGTTACGTGTTATCTATGTCTAGCAATCCCAACAAAGGTAGAAAAGTAATACGTACATAATTGACTTTCTATATTTCTTGCGGTCACTGTATATATATATATATATCCTCTGGTTATTTAACGTAGCTATAGAAAATCACATTTTAACAGGTAAGCCATCTATAAATAGGCCATTTTCCCTGGCACTGTTAAATAACCGGAGGGTATATATATATACCGCATTACATCCCACTTCATCTTCATGCGTCCTCCACAAGGCGTCTGCATGTATCTGGAGTCTTTACACACGGAGGCGTTTACACAGGAAAGCTTTTACACACAGAAGCTTTTACACAGAGCAGTTTTTACACAGAGAAATCTTTACACAAAGAAGTCTTGACACAGAGAAGCTTTGATGCAGAGTAGCTTTTACACAGAGAAGTCTATACACGGTAGTACTTATAGATGTAGGTGGCTCCGCTCAGGTCAAACAAATGCGATGGAGGCTCCTTTTTGTCGATGTCCAGCTGATACGGCCACAATCGGCCACATGCATAGAGCCAAAAAGCCATGGCCACACGGGCCACTGACACTGACAAGGCACCAAGGTGGAGCTGGGGCTGCAGTTTCATCAGTGGTTATCCAAGCATAGTCATCCCGTCGGACCAACTTGTGCGGGGTCCATAGCCATGGTTATACTCAACGCCCCAAGTGAACCCCCAAGTGAGCAGTGTGAAATCAATTCCTCTATCATTCCATTATATATAGGGATTTCCCGTTATTGAATTATTAATTAGGAATTATAATCCACAATGTACAAAGGGTAGTAGAATCCCCGAACTAATAATCAGCCCTGCCAGGGGTCTTGAACAACATCTCCCAGCCGCAAATCATTTGGTCTTACCTACGCCTGCGCTACCTGGGCTGCCGGACCGACTGAAAGCCTCGCACCATTTGCCGTCCGCTACTCCAAATGCAGCCGCCATCATTAGAGAGGTAGATCTCCTGGAGGATTTTTCAGCTGCGATGGCTGAGGGATTTAGGGAAACCTAAGTTGTCTGAGACATACCAATGATGGTGCCCTGTACCAAAGTGGTTTGTAGCTAACATAACAAACACATACATACATACATACGTACGTACGTACGTACGTACCTACATACATACATACATACATACATACATCCATCCATCCATCCATCCATCCATCCATACATACATACATATATATATATATACACTACGGTGTCTGGTAGATATACTATACCTACACTTAATGGTTAGAAACCAACAAATATAACTTGGGGCCCCCAACCATGTAATTATCTATCCATCTTCAATCTAAACACCCACTGTGAATAAATATTGAAAACTGATGACTCCTATTTCACATTGATGTCATCTTGCCATGTTTATTTTCCGAAGGTACACCAACAGAATTGTCTATATGTTTTCATTATCAACAAGTCAAAACTACACCCCAAAAAATCGGGACACGTTATAGAATCACAAAATCATTTGCAGGGTCCAAAAGATCGGAGTCGTGGTGCGTTTTTTTTTCGTCGTGGTATTGGGTCACAGCCACTGCCATTTGCGTCAATGAAAATTCAACGGATGCTGGAGATGATTGGTATACCTCCAGTTTAGGTACCCTCTGGTAAACTAATAGTTGGCTAACTATTGAAAATTGCCATTTTCATTGGGTTTTCCATGGCATTTCATGGGTATAACTATGGATAACTATGGTAATATAATGGGAATATCATGGAATGTAATATATCACCAACAATATTGATACCCTCTGGTAAACTAACAGTTTGCGAACTTGAATATGGTCATTTAGTTCGTTGATTTACCCATTAAAAATGGTGATTTTCCATAGTTATGTTAGTTTACCCGAGGGTACCTGAAATGGCCATTGAATCTACGTGTATGCTAATTTCGTCAAGTATGGGGCATCATGTGGATGTCCCGGACTCCTGCTGGTTGATACCCAAAGAGGGGTGTTGACCAAATCAATTTATTATTATATACAGGATGGTGCCCCCCAGTGATGTGAACGTGGGTTTATAAACCCCATGAACTAGCTCGTTATATCTGCCATAAACCATAGTGAAATGGGACTTATAAACCAACTTAGCTAACTATGGGGCACCACCTTGTAACAATATTTAATATCCCATAGGATCCATGTATGCTATATATGGAAACATGGATCCCATCAATATACCCCACATGTTAGCATATATACCAGCACCATGGATCCTATGGGTATAACTATTCTGGGTGGATAATCTAGAATGGATTGTTTAAGATTGGGTTTAAGACATGTACATTGCCAATCATAGATACCCTCCCCAAAACATGGCTTGACTGAATAATGTCTTCATGTGACATTGTGTATTCCTCCGTTCATAGAAAAACACAACATACTTGTATACCTGGATAAATCATAGGTCATAGGAATTCACCAGACTGAGATAAAACCATTTCGAGGATCATTTCCATCATTCCGGTGACATACCAGTGAGGTCGTTGTAATTCATGCAGAATTATCCCCTTGTGGATGCTGATATAACTTTTATAAATACAGTATACAACCATATCTCTCTGTGTGATGATTATATATCCCCATTCTTGTTGCCAAAAAATCCCATGTTCGATCAATTCTGATGTTTGTACCCTCTGGTAAACTAACATAGCTATTGAAAATGGCCATTTATAGTGGATTTTCCCATTAAAAATGGTGATTTTTCCGCAGTAAAACGTTAGTTTACCAGAGGGTATCCCAATTTTCGATGGTTCCCAGTCACCATGTTTGTTGTTATATCTCCCCATTCTTGATGCGTAAATCCGCAAAAACCACATATTTTTTCCAGTCAAACGGAGGTTTCAACAGAAATGGCTCCCCAAAACCCGGGCGCTGAGAAACACTGAAATATACTCAGTCATGCTGATCCATGACGACTGGATCATTCTGGGTACCCTCTGGTAAACATACAAGAAACTATGGAAAATCAACATTTTTTAATGGGAAAATCCACTATTTCGACTGGGCCATGTTCAATAGCTATGTCAAATTACCAGAGGGTACCCCAAATGACTCTGCGGAACTCCCGGAACTCCCCCGGGCCGTCCACAGCGTCACCATGCGCCTCCTCTCCAAGAATTCCATCGTGCTCCACCGGCAGTAGCTGATACTTGCCGCTCGACTCCGAGAGAAACCTTTGGACACTTTCCGGCGCCGGTGTTGCTTTGGTGAATGGGGCTTAAGTGGTAAATGTCATGGGTATATATATATAGCAGTTAATGTCATGGTTGATATAGTGGTTAATATAGTGGATGATATAACGGTTGATATAGTGGTTATGTGATGGTGGTTTATGGTGGATGCTCGTTAATGGTGATTCTATAATAGTGGTTAATAGGACTATTGGTGGTCAATTGAGGTCAATTGTGAGACTCTCCACTGGAGCCTCATTGGTTGAGAATTGTATGAATCTTAAGTGGTTCAGCTCAAAAATCGGTTGAGTCTATTGAAAATTGAAACTTTTTTTCTGAACTCCATTGGAACCGTGGAAACTACATGTTTTTAACAGTGGTTCAAATTGAAACTGTATTTTAAAAGTTCTTCAGCTTTTGTTTGAAAATATGTTTGAACATTTCTTTGAAACCAGCAACCAGAGAAGTGTGGAGATTTTTTTTTTTTTGGTACCATAAACCATCCATCAACCGTAAACATCACCGGTGGTGATCAGGGGCCCTATTTGTGACTTGCTGTTGTTTCTTTCAAAGAACACATATGGGTATGGGGCAAAATTAGGTACCCCAATAATTGGATGGTTAATACTAAACTAAACTAACATCTGTGGTCCCCTAGGTCTTCCATTTTGACCCACATCCATATGCAAGTCACTGATCAAGAGTGACAAAGTGAGGTCAAATAAGTCAAATAGGTCAAATGGGAATCAGAATGAGTACAAGTCATACTGCATCATTCATCGTGGTCGTTGGTTACAAAGTTACAACCATAAAATCATATAACATCCCAAGAGTAATCATCAATACAATCACATCCCCTCATATTAAATAACCCAATGCGGGCCCCGAAAATGAACAATTCCGGTATACTGAACTAAGGTCAAAAAAGGGGGCTGGCTTGACAATGTAGTTCCCTGACTCCACCCCAGGACTTTTTTAGGGGCTAAATCAGGTATAGATAGAAGTAAAATGACTCTCTGGTTGGTGGTTGCTCTGAAAAATGATGGAGTTCGTCAGTTGGGATGATGACATTCCCAACTGAATGGAAAGTCATTAAAATTCCATGGTTCCAAACCACCAACCAGCTCTAATTTACCACCTTTGTGGCCATCATTTTTCTTGAATGGCTTGGAGCAACCCTACATCTTGTGGTAAAATCATGTAAAATCCAACCAGTTTTATTGGCGAAATCCCACTCCAAGACCTGCCGTTGCCAAAGGACTCCTGCCCAAAAGGTGCAAAGGAGCCTGGTGCACGCAGGCTTCAAGCTGAACATTTCACATTCATGGGCCAATGGGGGATGAAGAAGCAACAAACATATTGAGTTTTTTTTTTCCGCAGAAATACAAAGTTATCGAAAACTTACCCTCTGGTTATTTAACGTAGCCATGGAAAATCACCATGTTTAATAGGTAAACCATCTATAAATGGGCCATGGCTTCCATGGCTATGTTAGTCATAAGCAGAGGGTACAAGAATCAGGTCTTTATCAGGTCTTTATCAGGTCTTTTGCGTTGAAGTCCTTGGGGACCATCCTTTGAGTTGTTGGGGGGTCCGTCTCATCCGTTGACTTCAGGTGAACTTGAAAGGAATGGTAGGAATGGGTGGGATATAACTCTAGTTGGTGGTTGACCTACCCCTCTGAAAAATAGAAAAACAGAAGATTTCTGCAGAAAAAAAATCGCTAGTACCATATTGTTGGCCAGATTTTCTGGGGATATTCCCTGAAATTTAGGCCTGAAACATAGGCCACACATATAAATGGTAGGTACCTCCAATCAATCGGTTCCTGGGTCATGGCCATTGATGAAATAAGTGGGCGGGCCGTGTGGGCTGGCAGATTAGTCCCGTACTGGAGTGAACTAATCCAACCACGTAAATCATACGTAGCCTGTGGTAATTTACCCTCTGGTAAACTAACGGTTTACTATGGAAAATCACCATTTTTAATGGGAAAACTCACTATAAATGGCAATTTTCAATAGCTTTGTTAAATTACCAGAGGGTAACATATTGAAAATCAGCATAAGTTTATTCTAGGTAAATCATCTATAAATGAGCCATGTGAAAAATAGCTATATATATATATATATGAAATTACTAGAGGGTAAGTTAGACATGTTTAATAAGCCATAATTTAGGTTCACCTCCAAGATCCCAAAGAGAGAAACCCCCTGTAACTCCGCCATTAACAGAGCCAAGTGTTCTCTGTAATCCTTTCCCTCTTGGATCAATGGGAGATCTCCAGGATCCGATTGATTGGAGGTACTGTACCATATTTCAGGGCATATTTTCTAGGGATATTCCCTTACATAGGCCTGAAAAATAGGCCTTATATATGGTAGGTACCTCCAATCAATCGGATCCTGGAATGGCCATTGATTGGATTCAACATCCCAAATGAAGCTCAAACACCTCCATTTATAGGGGATTTTCACTGGCCACATTTGATTACTGGATGGTATTCCTATGAGAACGGCAATGGGACCTACCATTTAGTATAACTAAGATAGCCTTCGAGCTACATTCCTACAATGTGGGGCCTCCCTTCGATAGCTAAGTTGCTTTATAATTCCAATAACTATGGTTTATGATACTTATAACTTATAACTATATAGATATAGTTAATTGGGTTTATAAACCAAATTATAACTGGGGGTGCCCACATTGTATCATTATAAATTATACATAAATGGTAATCATGCCAGGATATGATTGCGGGATTGGCATTCCCATCCGCTCGAAAACACAGCTGACACTGCCTAAGGTCACGAAAGGCTTTGCCATCCATGCGACCGTCAGCGAAATTTCTTGTGATGCTACAAGGCAGTGCCCCATGAAAAGGTAAGCTAAGTTGGTTTTGATTTTACCAAGAAAAATTGTGTTATTTGGTGGTAATCAATGGGATTTAGCTATCTAAGTTGGTTTCAAACTCCAAATTGACTCCGACAACGCTTGGGTTTATGGTAGATAAGAAATAGGTAAGGTAGTAGGTAGATATGTCATGATAAGGGGCAATACAAACCATTCTTTTTTACGGTATCATCTTGTAACAGCAGGAAGAATCTACCGTTTTTTACCCGTGAAACTTGGAATCAAGTGCAGAGTGAAGCACAGGGTGCCCAGGAGACTACTGTTGGACATGGTGAGGTGTAGCTTCCTGACCTTTCCTGCAGAAAACTCTGTTCACATGCTGAGTTTAAGCAGTCCACTGGTCCTCAAATTTTGTCCGACTTAAGCTCCTTGGGGGCAAAATAAACACATGCACCATGCTTCAGGCGGGTGCATATCGTTCGATATGTCTATGCGCCTCAACTAGCAACTCCCCCTTGACCCGAAAAAGGCGGCGCTTCACGGCGTGAGGAAAAACACATCCTTTTCAGCCTGCAAAACTACAGTCCTGAGTCGTCCTGTTCCATAGCGAAAACGACAACCGTATTCACATTGAAAAAATCCCAAGGTCAACCCAGAAAACCACCTTCTCTGAGATCCCTCATCTCGAGCAACTTTTGGCAACGCTGCGCTCTTCAAAACATGACATCGCAGCCCATTTGCGGCGCTGCAGTGAGTATATTGGTGCCATGATGAAGTCCAGTACCAATCCCAAAGGATCAGAGTCCAATTTCAATTGGCAAGGTGAGGCCCCTCAGTGATGCTTATCAACCCATGACTACTATAGCTGGTTGGTGGTTGACCTACCCCTCTGAAACATATTAATATGAAAGTCAGTTGGGATCATGACTTCCCAATATATGGAAAAATGTTCCAAAATGTTCCAAACCACCAACCTGTTACTATAGGATACAAATGGATACTAAAGGTATATCATGGTATATCCCCCCAGTTTATCCCGAGGTCTCACCTTGGGGTTTTTTTCCGGATGTTTTTTCCCATGAAGTGTGTCATAAGCCCCAAAAAGAAGTGAGGATATCCCATGGGGTCTAACAGGTCTATCCACTGAAGCCTAAACGGTTTCTGCATATCCAACCGTCCACCATGGCATCACTGCTATGCATAAAGGGTCTCTGCCGTGCACCAAAGCGCAAGACAGGTCCCAAGTCAGGATGGTATCTAGCACAAGAAGTCTCGAACCAAGCCCCCGATCTGACCCTAAAATTCTGCAAGCCATGTTGCTTACCTGGTTGGTGGTATACCTACCCCTCTGAAAAATATGAGTTCGTCAGTTGGGATGATTATTCCCAATCTATGCAAAAAAAAAAAAAATAAATGTTCCAAACCACCAAGCAGCTTGAAAAATCGATCAAAACGCTTTCAAAACGTGAAACCACTCGCCATGCCCCATGGCTCCGATCTGTCATCTGGGGCTATGTTTTGACCATCTTTGCCTCGTCATCGGGGTCTGGGGTCGGGATATACACCGTATTTATAGGAGAAAAAAACTACCGTGGATCGCGGATCGAGTCTTGGATCTGCATCTCGAAATGGATGCAACTGGTACGTGACCAGGGTTTATTCTGTATACTGTATGGGTGATTTTAAATTCCTACGTTCAATCAGTTATATGAGAATATATATGATATGCGGGCATACATATGTGCATATTATGTTCATTACGTGCACACTGCTTCCGGCGTGGGATGCACATCCAAGATAAGAGACTGAGACTGATGGCTGATGAATCAGTACCCAAAGACAACCAAAGAAGCAGCCATCACAGCCATTCCAACCTAAGCGTCAGTCCATGTGCGGGGAAGTATGGACCCATATGGACCTCAGACATCAGGTTTTTCTATGTTTGGATGGGGTTCTAAGTTTGGTTCAACGTGTTTGTTTGAACCTCGTTGAACCAAACTTAGAATCCCGTTGAAGTTCACTTTTTGGGGGTGAGGTTGTTGCTATGTGACTTTGAATATGGTATTTTTCGGCAGTTTCTCCTCATACAAAATCGATCTGCAGCTCCTGAAATTCCGGCCAAATGACGGGAGGTTTTTCACAACGGGAGGTATATTACCTGGTTGGTGGTATACCTACCCGTCTGAAAAATATGAGTTCGTCAATGGGAAGGATTATCCCATATATTATGGAAAACAAAACATAATAAAACATGTTTGAAACCACCAACCAGTTGCACTCTGTACCCTGCAAACAATCCAATCTTCAGCTGGTTAGTGCATATCTACAGCGAAAAATTGAAGTGCTAAACTAGCCCAAGGGTTACCCAGGCTTACCCTCTGGTAATTCAACATAGCCATGGAAAGTGCCCATATTTTATTCGATGTTTTACCTATTAAGATTGGTGATGTTCAATAGCTGTGTTAAATTACCAAAGGAAAAACACATATTAAACGAATGCAAGCAGAGATTTCGAGTGACATTCAACGGAAAATCTGCTGTTCGAAGATTTTGGAGGGTTTCGTCAGAAAAGTAGTTGGTTTATTAGCACACTAACTGGGGTGTGGTTGATGGGTGCATCATTATATATAATATATATGAACAATAGTTGGAAGGGGGTTATGACATCCAATAGTTTGTGACTCGTGGGCCGTTTTCCTGCAGTCAGTGCCCAATTTATGCACAACCTAATATGTGTAAATGGGTATATCCCATCTACAAACAGTGTATAGGAGCATGGCTAAGTGGGATATGATTCCAAGTACGATCTCATATTAGAGTCAATTTATAGTTTCTCCATAGAGGGTGCGTCAAATGTAACAAGAGTTTCAGGCAAAAACACACAACAAGTTCTACAAAGTGGTGCCCCTGCCAGATATGAGCTGGTTTGTTACCCCCATGAATGAACCATAGATATAATTAACCCCAGTGCTCTTAGCTATAGTGAAACTTAGCTAACAAACAGGGGCACCACCTTGAATAAATGTTGCTCCCAGTTGCAACACATTTCATATCCACTCAGGTTTGTTGCTAAAACATTGGTCATACACGATTGATCCAATCACTTTAATATCAAATGCCTTCAAATGAGCGGGACCCCAAAATGAATAGATCCACTAAACCAAGGAAGACACAAATTAACATGTAATGAAGGTAGTTGTAGCTAAAAGTATATGTTCTTCCAATGAATTCATCACTAACCATTGCCTTTGCTGCTTATAGTTGGCAAGTCGCGGATAATTACTACCATGATCTACCATGATCTACCATGTTTCATTCGCCGGATAGAGCATTTCGCTATTCATGACAAAACGTCAGCCTACATTAACCTCGGTTAACCCCTGCAATCGACTTGCTGATGATTTGAGGCCCACCATGGCCCACCAAACGATGAACAATGAATAACCGGACACTCAAAAAGGGTCAACTAATTTGATCTAGTGCTGGCAGCATAGATTCCTCTTCACGGCCAGAAAACAAGGGAATCGGCTGACTTGCCGCCCTGCAACTGTCGACATGTTTTTTTCATTTTCAAGATAAAATGATGAACACCCAGTGTTATTTTTTTAACGTGTTTCATCTGGAAGTCATTTATAAAGAGAGTATCATGTTGTACTGCGTGGGCTACTTCAAAATAAACGAACTGGTATTTCGTGCATGCGAAGCTATCATTTTTTGATCACATTGGGAAAAAGTTTGGAAGTGCCTGTTGATCCTAACATATCCGACAACACATCACATGCCCAAACGGATTAAAGCATCTTTTCTCAACTCTGCCACAAGCATTCGGGAAACATCAAACAAATCCTACCGCAGCATCCAAGGCATGTGCGAGCGTAGCAACATATTTGTTACCGTAGCGGCTGTAGCGTCGCGTAGGTGTGCAAGTGCCAAGGGACGTTATTAGCCCCACCCCACCCCATCTCTAGCTCAGCATCACGTCGGTGTGCAAGTGCCAAGGGATCTTATTAGCCCTACCCCACCCCATCCCCACCCCATCTCTAACGTAGCATCACGTAGGCGTGCAAGTGCCAGGGGACGTTGTATTGGCCCACCCCACCCCACTCCGTCGTACCATGACCGAATCATACCTTGCACAACATCGAAGTATACAAGAGCAAAATTGACAACCCTTCTGGGGCAGCGAGTCAGCCGATAGCCGAAAACAACTCATTGAACTACCCTTCGCCAAAGCCCAGAAAATGCCACCAATTTCTGGGAAAAACTGTCACAGCTGAGGCGCAAAGAAGGAGTACGCGGTGTATTTGTTCCTGACCACAGCCGCAGAAATGAAGCATGACCAAACATCACAAGGTGCCCCAAAGTTTAGCTAAGTTGTTTTGCTAGCAGGTAAATTTAGGGTAGATATATCATGATATATCCTTGAAAGGGGGTATAAACCAAGTTATGGGGGCAACACACTGCAGGGGTCTCTCCACCTTTTTTGAATGGCAATAATAATCCTTAGGTTTCTTGGAATTCACATGGTGAAACCATACAAGGTGATGCCACTCAGTTATAAGTTGGTTTATAAACCATAGTAAGATCATGATATATATATATATATTATATATTATATATATATTATATATTATATATATATCACCTATAAACCATAGTGAAATTGGAGTTATTTGCACCAACTTAGCGATTTCGTTAACGGGGACACCACCTTGTAGGTGTTAATTCAGCCTGCACACGAACGACTCTTCTTCGGATTCGAACAAAACCTGCCAGGTTTCCTGGTTCCTTTTCTCGCCAGATTCGGTGTGAGAGTTCAATCCTGGAACCCCTACTCAACAGATGGCTTTGTGGTTAAACCACTGTGCATTTCCTGTTGTTGTTGTTGTTGTTGTTGTTGGGGATCACTAATATACCATGGCCAATTTGCGCTTTACAAAACCCGACTTCGGATAGTTACCCTGCGATAAACGAACATGTGGAAAGCCTAATGGTTTTCGAATCCCGATCTACAAATAGTGGATTCTCCACATCTATAGCCCCTAAAATGTTCATGGGATGGTGACTGCTGTGACCTCCTTACCCTTGCCCTGCAAATTCCAAGCTTCTCCGGATCATATTTCAGCGCAGTCGGCAGTAGCTTCTGGAAGGAAATGTGGATCTTGCGCGACAAAAAAGGTGGACGTTCATGGCAGGCCCTTGCCCCAATCATATTAAGTTTATTATATAAACAAAAACCAATAAGAGACTCACAGTTCAAATAGACCAAATAGATACCACAGAGTTATTAAACCAGGGTTTCGCTGGTATTAAATATTAGGGGGAAGGGACTATGCGGAACCTACCAAAGATGGCATGTATAGAGTCTGTATAAGGCGGAGATCCTCCATGTTAAGAAACACCCATCTTGTAAGGTTTCCGCAGGGTCCAAACGTTTCACATCACGCGCCGCCAGTGTCCGTTGGCGCACCATGACACCACCGATGATGCCAAAGAGAATGGCATCAATCACTGGGCCAACTATCTCCTGCCGAACTTCAGAAACTGGAAGTTTGCTGGGTTTGTCCAGAGTTTTTCATGGTTATTGCGCCGAATTTGATTGTATGGTTTTCAGTCTGATGTCTCCCATTCTAGTATATGGACTTTACAAGAACATGAAATTCCAATTGAAGCCATATGAAGCCAAGAAATTTGGGATTACTTCTTGCTTCATCCCAGAAATTCTAAGTGACAACTCGTGTTGCTGATTCCTTGGCTTTCAGGCCGGGTCGACTGACTTGGTGTAGCAGGGCTTGGGGCAGGGATTTGTCCCATCACTTGGGAGCCCTTGTGAAACACATCACTTGTTGAAACAGCCGTATCTGTTGGAGATGAATTCGAAGAATTAGATCCCCAAGATTATTCTGGTTGGTGGTTGACTCTACCCCTCGGAAAAATATGAGTCAGTTGGTGTTATTATTCCCAGTATTTGATGTGAACAATATATAAGGACAGTCACCCCTGATGAACATATGCTGGAAGACAAGCTCAAAAACCTCAATGAGTCCAAGTGAAGAAACATGGTTTCTACCATGCAGGATGGTGCCCCCTAGTCATAAGTTGGTTTATAAACCCCATTAACATCCATTAACTATAGTTATATCTACCATAAACCATAGAATTCAGCCACTTATAAGGCTACTGAACGCTATCGACTGGGGGCCCCATCCTGTGGGTTTTACCTTCAAATAGAGTGGTTTCCTGAGTTCCTGCGCTACGGGATGGCTCGTGTTACTTCAGCTATCAGCTATTCGGGTCATGTTTTATCGTTTCCACAATCATACTGACAAAGAGTTCGGGCAAACAAGTGTGAATAGTGAATAGTGAATAGTATCCAACATTTACAACTCAACCAGGTGCAACCATATACATCATAAAATAAAGCTGTTGTGAAAAACAAGAACAACTTCGATCTATCAAAATCTATGACAGAATGATTTGAAATCCTCTGAAACAAATGGTGAACTAATTTACCACAGCCTTCTCTCCAGCCTTCTCCCCAGCTCTCCTTCAACACCAGCCATGCCAAGAGACCACCTAAAGGCTCGGACATTCCGGACAGGAAGGCCCAGAAAAAGGCCTTGCCTGGGCACCGGGCAGGGAAGACAGGGGTGCCTAAGGCCTGACGGCCTTGCACCGCTCGATGTTTCTGAATTTCGGCATTTTCACGAAGTAATGCTGATGCCTCTGCTGAATGAAACAAAAACACATGCCTCTGCTGATAGTTGATGGGCTAAAGAAAAACACTTTTTCGGATTTGAGTGTGATTTATGTAACCAACCAAAAAATGAAACAAACATATTATACAGGGCTTGCTTGGATGGTTGATGGGCTAAATTTGTGAATTCCATCAATTCCATCCCCCCAGAAAAGGAAAACAATGTGCAACAAGAAAGAAACAGCACATTCCAGAAGAATACCCTCTGGTTACCTGACATAGCTATGGAGAATTGCCCATCTATAGATGATTTATGATGATTGGTGCTTTTCTGTGGCAAACCGTTAAATAACCATTCATTAGAATCTGTGCGTTTCATACACCAAACAAGGCTACCATGTCCATAAACGCCACTGCCTGGTTTCCGTCATATTCTTCAGATTCAGGGCTCCAGGATGTTTTAGATATGAAAATCGTCAGATAAAGAAACAATGGGAAAGAAGGCAATGTGAACAAACGAGATTTTACCGCTGAGGCTGTGGTTTTTCACCAACATTCTCATGGCCAATCAGTCAGATACCCTGCAAAAAAATACAAATTCTTAGCTGGTGAACGTAGATTATCCCATTGATACCAAAAGACTAGTTAGGATTAGTTAATACCCCTCCAAGATTGACCTAGTAATTCCCATTAGTAATTTCCCATACCAAAGGATGAGTTTGTACCCATCCAGTCGATTGACCTTGGCACATTTGGCACCTTTTGCACCTAACTGAAGGATATCCCCTCACAACATACCCTCTGGTAAACGTTTACAGTTTGCTATTGAAAATGGCACAGTCGAAACAGTGAGTTTTCCCATTAATAGCATGGTGGATCTTTCCATCGTTTTTTTGTATGTTTACCAGAGGGTATGCCATTATAAACCATTATTAACCATAGTAAACATTATAACCATAGTTATGCCATTTACCAAAACATTATAAACCATAGTTATGCAACATTATTTTATCCAGGTTTACCAAAACATTATAAACCATTATTAACCATAGTTATGCCATGTTTTGGTAAACCTGGATATCCGCATCTCCCGCGTCGTGAAAATGCAATTCTTCCATCGCTTTTTGACCACCCCAACTCGGGGCTGCTGTTCGGGGGGTTCAACGTGGATCCCGAAAAGACACCTGGCGATTCACCGATGACGAAACTGAAATGTCGACCTTCCCAAGGTATACCTATGGAAAATCACCATTTTTAATGGAAAATCACCATGTTTAATGGGAAATCACCACTTTTAATTTAAAATCACAATTTTTAATGGGAAATCACCATGTTTAATGGGAAATCACCATGTTTAATGGGAAATCACCATGTTTAATGGGAAAATTCACCATAACTATGGCAATTTTCAATAGCAAACTGTAAACGTTTACCAGAGGGTAACCAGATGAGGCTTCAGAACAAGTTCTTCAACACTTGGCTAAGCTTGCGGTAAGACCCTATGGTTTGCCCGCAAGGTTATAGTTGATTTACCTATGGAAAATGGTGATTTTCCATACTTATGTAAGCGTTTACCAGAGGGTAATAACCATGGCTAGTAAGTCCCGATTTCATGGATTTTCCCATCTATAAATTATTATAAATGGGTGAACTGACCCCAGTTACGAACCACTTATGATCCCTGGGATGGTCCTCCAAGGACCACGTGCCTGTTACAAGTTTATTCTCCTCTTTGGGTGTTGGTGTTTTTCACTGCTACCCAAAGGGGTCGGTTTATAGCTAGAACTAGTAGGCTTTATGGTAGTTATATCTATAGTTACGGCAAGACCCTATGGTTTGCCCTTAAGGTTAGAATGGTGTTCAAAAATTATCCTTCACATGCTCAAAAACCTGCGCAGGGCCAGTGTTTTGGTATTTCCCAGACGACGAGCCCTAAACCCTAAACCTTAAAACCCTAAACCCTAAAACCCTAAAGCCCGAAAGCACTAAAGCCCGAAAGCCCTAAACCTAAAACCCTGAAAACTCTGAGTCCGAAAGCAGAAAACACCGCGTATACGCAGTATTTTCTGCAATTTCTCTTCTCATGTTCGAAGACAGGGAATCCGCAATGTTGCAGTCCGGGTAAACCACGGGGTGTGCGTAACCTTAGATACCCTGCAGAACAAATATTTTGTGGGCTGCTCAGTATTGACTGCAATTTATAGCAAAAGAGTAGGCAGCCCTTCAAGAGTGTGGTAAAACCAATCATAAACCATCGCCAAGTCATCACCCTTTTCTTGGGTGCTGTCAACAATGTCCAAATGATAGGTTAGCGCACTACCAAACTATCCATCCGTGTGGTTCACCCAATCTTTGATCTGGTCTGGTTGGTGGTATACCTACCCCTCTGAAAAATATGAAAGTCAGTTGGGATGACTATTCCCAATACATGGGAATATAAAACATGTTCCAAACCACCAACCAGTGGTTAAACTTCCCATCCACTTGGTTTACGCAGTACATCATCCATTGAATAGCCGCATAGCTGCGAATCTTCAGCCCGGGCAGAGGGAAAGGAACGCAACCGGAAAAATGCAGAAATAGTGCAAGTGAAATGGTGGTCAACTTCTTTCGAGGCACATACAGTTCAGACTTAGGCAGAAACATGTTCACCATGTGACCATGTGTAGACAATTACATGATTGGGGGAAATGTTTTTGCAGAAATAGGCTCCAAATGGAACTGTAGATCAGTTAGGTTTCCAACAAAAACAAATGCTGTGTTTTCTGTCACTGGGATTTGCTTCAGATGCCCCAACTTAACAAAAAAAACTCCCAGTGGGTAGCAAATTAAGATGTCCCCAACAAAAAACCCTAAAGTACTCTTATATCTCCAAATGATTTCCCCATTTGTAGTGTTCCCATTGCCGGATTTGCCGCAAAAATCTCTTCACGACCAGGGTACACTTGGAATTCGTGGCCTTCAAGATTGGCGCAGCCACTGCCAAACCTCCCCCCAGAAAACGGTGTACAGGACGGGGCCCCCAAGATAGCTAAGGTGCCTTACAAGTGGCTTAACTATGATATAACTATAGTTAATGGGGATTAAAATGGTTGAGAAGCTACTTGCGGGTGCAGTTGGGGTTAGTTTCATGGGTATAACCGTGACATACTACGACAATAACCTCCATAAGATGCTAGCACCTGCAACAATGGTAAGATAAACCACACACAAATTAGTGGATCCGTAGCCAAGCAACCCACTGACTAAGATTATTCCTGTTGAGGACTATAATCCCCTATAGACTAGGAGCTACAACCCCCCAACAATGACCAATCAACGATTTGTTTTAATGGCTAAAACTCTGACATTCTGACTTATTTGCATGTCATGAGTCATCACCATCATTATGGTGGAACGAACGAAAATGAGGAACATCACTACAACTAGCCGGGACTGCTAAACACCACTTACTGAATCTGCGTTCAAACAGTCGTTGACGGCCCCGAGAAAGCGAGATTTGTAAGAAAACATTATGGTGGGCAGTGGGCAATGATTACGAAACAGACCCTACTAGTAGGGGGAAACATTAACACTAAATTAGCACAGATGCAGAAAACCAATGTTTTCCGGAGGAAAATGATTCCTTAATGGTAGGTTGTCCACATAGGGTCAACTATCGCCTGCTGATTGGGGGTTGGTCTAGTTGAATTGCTTTCGACCGGGCTCATGATACTCCAAAGAGTTTGAAAGAGTGGTCCGTGTTCAAATGGATTGACTGAAAACGGGGTATACCACATAGTAGTCCTTTTGAATATGTTTAAATGGGAAACTGATAGTTAACCATTAAATTTTGGGGTTCCAAAAATTTCAGAACCCACACAGGGAATTCAGGTCCCCCGAGGAAAAGCCCAAAACAAACCTGGAACCCCGCAAAAAAGAGAAAATGTAAGCATTCTGCACTATCAAAAAGAAAAGAACCATCGAGATTTCTGGTCGTTTGTGATAACAATGTGTATATATATATATATGATGCTCCGAATTCGTATAGTAGTATATATATATATGTATATATATACATATATAATCATGGTGAATCTTAGATACCTACCACAAAATCTAAGGTTTAGCCGGTGAATGCATTTCACCGTTGATAATATGTGCTTTACTCACCAAGGTTGACCCAGTAATGTGCACCTAAAAAACAGAATTGAAACCTTCAAGTTCCATGAACTTCGCACTTTACAACGTGTGTTTGCCTTTACATTGCCAATCTGAGACACAAAAAACATATTCTTAGCTGGTGAACGTAGTGTTACCTATCTATAGCAAAAGATTAAAGTCCTAAAGTCTGTAGCCAAGGTTGACATCGTTTATTGCTCGCTGCAGAAAGGGTCCTGCATCAATAGCCTGTTAAGTCAGCCCACTGGTGGCAAAGCCATCCAGGAAGCTTCCAGATGAGTCGCTTAAATGTGGTTTGGGTTCCATCCTGTCATGTGGCAATTGCATAAGCCGAAGCACTGGTAATTACCAACTCAAAGAAACATGGCCAATCTTAGATACCCTGCAAAAAGCTAAATTTTTAGCTGGTGAACGTAGATAATCCCATTGATACCTCGATTCGCACAGCACGTCACGCTGAACACTCTCATCCCCAGCCGTCTTGGCAGGATTGAAAGGTAAGCTGGATTTCTGTCAAATGGTGCAACTGCATCCGCAAGTCTGAAAGCAAATGGAAAAAATGTTGCAGTGCTGTCAAGTACTTCACGAGTTTAGATGCAGCAAAACCGTTCAGCAATCGCTTATAATGTTGATCCTTGAACTCGCTGTCGTTCCTTTGTTGTTGCTGTGGAGAAATTTGGTTCCCTTCCAGCTATGACATGCCAAAGGGATCTGACCAACTTTGAGTCTGCTGCTTTCATCGGGTCACATCTCCAGCCTGAGGACCCGGCCACCAAAAGACTAAAGGATTAAACTACCCATCTAAGATTGACCTAGCATGCATGGCCTACACCTTGCACCCCTGGTGGCACAGATGCTTAGACATAGGGACAATGTTTGGCGTCCTGCCAAACATATGTTGTCAGCCATGCAGGCAGCGAAATTGCAATGTAGCCAATGTATGCGTAAACCTTGTGCATGCGACGATGCTGTGCTTGTCCCTGCGCCATCCCCATCATACAGAAATCTTGTGGTTGGGAGATGGCAAGTATGAAGTAATCAAGTGCCAGCAAACCCAACATTATCATGGTCAATCTTAGATACACTGGCAAAAAAAAAAACTTAGCTGTTGAACGTAGATAACAACACGATACCAAAAGACTAAAGGTTAAAGTACCCATCCAAGATTGACCTAGTCACCACCAAATGAAGAACCAGCGTAAAAATTAAAACCTCAAGGGCTTCAATGTTAAAGTGCCATAAACCACCTACTTTTGTCTACCTTCATAGTTCTCCACAGTTGTATCCGCTATATCAGATTCTATCTGTCCCATCTAAAAACCATTAAGATACCTCAAATATGTAGTTACCCCAAGCAGGCACCACCGGCACCACCATATATATATACACAACTACAACTACAACTACTACAGCAACAACAGCAACAACAATAATAATATGTTTGCACAGTTACACACACATAATATATATATATGATATACATTTTGGTTAAACCCATGAATTTCAGATTGTTTTTCCATTCGTAACATATATACCTGGCCACATAATTCTATATATATCCATTTGCACATATTAAATATATCATTTGGCCACATTGTTTTTCCATTTGGCCACATAATTAAATACCATATGTACGTATACCATATGTATTGCAGCCAGATTAAACCATGGATTAAACCATAGAAATTAAACCATTGTATCAATGGCCATTTTAGGAACCGATTGATTGGAGGTACCTATCATATATGTTTGGCCTTATATGGTACTAACGTACCTCCATGTTAGGATCCTGAAATTCCCATTGATTCTATTATACCATTGGTATATATATCTATATATATATAACAAGAGCAACAATAACAATATGTTTACACAGTTACAAACACACATAATGTATATTATATATATACATATACATATAAAAAAAATACATTTTGGTCAAACGATAGATACACAAAAAATGCACATATACCATGTATTGCAGCCAGATTCATAGATACATATATATATATATTGCCATAATATAATACATATACCCTCTGGTTATTTAACATAGCCATGGAAAATGGCCCATAGAAATAGATTGTTTACCTATTAATAGCATGGTGATTTTCCATGGCTATGTTAAATAACCAGAGGGTAACAATTTATCGATTCTATTATACCATTGGTGTATTTATATATATATATATATATAATGATTATTCTAATAACAACAATAACCAGAGGGTATATGTATTTAAGTATTAAACCATGTTGCTGAAAAGCCATCACAAAAAAACATGGTTTTTCCCAATCGAAAATTCTCACCCTCCGCCGTTCCTTCCGCCGCCGCTCTCCGCCTTCGGGGATGTTGTGAATGGCGATGGCGAAGGCCATGGGCACCCCGAAGCTGGGATCCTCCAAAGTGGCCACGAAGGTGGCCAGGCCTACTTTCGCGGGCGACGCGACGCGATGGGCGACCCCCCAAGAAATGGTGGGTAAATGATGGGTAAATGATGGGTAAATGATGGGTAAGTTGGTTCATGAGTCCAATTTAACTATGGTTTATGATGGTTAATGATAGTCAAGAAATCTCTACAGATAATGGGGATAGAATGGATGGATATATATATATATATATCCATATATATATATGGCTAAATGATGGTAAATATATATGGCTAAATGATGGTAAATGGTGCTTAAATGATGGTTAAATGATGGTGAAATACATTGATTCCAGTGAGTATTTTTGGGATTTCACCAACCTTATGGCTTTCTCTAATCGTTTTGTTCTGATGAGGAATGCTGATACAACGGGATACGAATGGAATAATCTCACTTAGTGCATGGCCAATCTTAGATCGACCTAGTTGACCCTACTTAGGAGGGTAAGTCTTCGGTACATGGGTAAAGTAAGTCTTCGGTACTTATGGTTACTGAACAATGATGGTCAATGAATGAACCCAACGATAGTCAGTGATAGTCAGTGATATTTAATGATAGTTAATGATAGTTAATGATAGTTAATGATAGTTAATGATAGTTAATGATAGTTAGCCCCAGTCTGTATTTTTCGTAGTATGTTGTCGTAGTGTTGGTCCAAAATAGGCAACTGCCAGTTAATATAGATTGTTATACCACATTAATCGTTAGTATGTTGTATTGACCCCTCTTAGGAGGGTAATTAAGTGAGTTACTTATGGTTACTGAAAAACAATATACTGAGGGTAAGTCTTGCTGAAAAAATATGAGAATACTTCACTGGGGTAGTTAGCGTGAAGTGCTGGTTGTCATGGCCAATCAGTCAGATACCCTGCAAAAAAATACAAATTCTTAGCTGGTGAACGTAGATTATCCCATTGATACCAAAAGACTAGTTAGGATTAGTTTCTACCCATCCAGTCGATTGTACAAATGTATTGACCCCACCTTGGAGGGCAAGTCTTGGGTAAGTGGCTTACTGAAGAATTTCTAATACTTCACTGGGGTGATTCATTGCCTGCCAACTAGATGCAATCTGTGTGTCTGAAAATGATGGATGCACCAATTTGCAACTGAGGGAGACTTTCTGATATGTGCCTGAGTCTTAGGGTTAGATCCAAATATGAGAACTTAGCAGACCAAATATGAAACGAACAAGTATGGAAACCACGACATGCAGTGAAATATCTACATGCACCATTTCGCAAAGCCCTTGGTTTTCCTCAGTGATGGCGAACCCCCCATCACTTACTCCGTCCCTTCGAATGAACAGGAGCCCATGGCTTACGGGTTGAACCAAACGCGATGAATGTTTAGTGACCAAACATGGGGATTCAACTACCTAAAAATGGGGATGTCTTGGAAACACAGAGTCACTGGTGAAATTGGTATGTCTTGGTGTTATGGCCATCCAATAAAAGTGGGATGATTGAGAAGTTAAAGTTTGGCATACTGTTCACCGTCATCTCGCATCATCTGAATATTGACAACCAAAAACTTACCTGCCCATATTTGAAATCACCACTGAAAAGAATTGAGCTATCTAAACTCTAAACGATGGAGGTACCTAAACTAAGTAAGGCCTAAGGCCTAAACATATATGTTTGTGTGTATATAATTGTATGTATGTATGTATATAAGCCGCTGCGTGCCACGCATCAATGGGCTGGATGGGAAAAAAATATACTCATATATATATATATATTGACACATATAAGGGGGTACACTACAAATATGCCTGATATGTCCTAGTACCTTCATTTTGGGCACGTGCGTTCCTATTCTGTCGGCAATGGGCCCTGTCGCCGTCGAACGGTAAAACAAGGGTTGAGTCCGTCGTTGGGGCTCGTGCAAGTGTATGACGGTCAGCCAGTGATGAAGAGCCCAGGGCAAAAGCTGCGCTATGGACACCCACGTTCGGCTGCTCTTGCAAAACCATGATGCCGTCGGAGGAATGAGGTAAACATGTCAAGCTCTCTCTGAAACGTATGTTTGTCGGCCGGCCTTCAATGATCGCTTCTTGCAACGCTGAGGCGAGGGGATTGGCCAAATGGAGCGGGCGGGCCACGGTCGGCCCAGGGGCCAGTGAGTATTTCACCACAGAATCCAAAGGATCAGGGAATCCCGCGGGCACCACATCCATTTGATGTGGTGCACTCGTTGCCCCCGCAGCTCCACGAGTAGCATGCCCTCCACGTTGTGCTTCCATGCTATGGGGATATAGTCGCCATGCGATCCAAATGAATGGAGTCGGGAGTTGTGAACTCCCAAAGCTTACCCACAAATACCATGACTTTCACACCAAAACAGCTGGTATTTGCATGTATTTACCAGACCAGTTAGAAGTGAGTTATATCAATGGCCATGACTCAGGAAGCGATTGATTGGAGGTACCTACCATATATCTTAGGCCTATTTTTCAGGCCTAAATTTCAGGGAATATCACCAGAAAATATGGCCAGAAATGTGGTACAGTACCTACATTTTAGGATCCTGAAATTCCCATTGATGATATTCTCTGGTAAACTAACAGTTTGCTATAGAAAAATGGATAAGAATGGCCCATCTATAGTTGATTTACCTCTAAAAATAGTGATTTTCCAGTTCGCAAACTGTTTTGGGGGTAAGCCTATGATAGTTGATATAATATCTCCAAATATATTGAATTATATTCCCATGATCTATCCCATGATCTATCGTATTATTAGCCACTGCTTATGAAATAATTCACAAAAAAATGTTTGTTATAGTTCTTCATAATGATTAACCACGAATTATGGTGATTTTCCATAGTTTTTTGCATGTTTAGAGGGTAAATCCCAGTTCACCCAGTTTGATCATTGGACATTCCCCTAGTTGACTACCGAGGTGAACCACGTTTAAAACTGCCCATGTGTTGAACATGCAATAGGAATTGGATATACTCATCCTGGTTTACTAATCGATCATAATAGATATATATATATATAGTGGTTATAATATACCAATAATAGTGATTATGTATGGTTATATGATGGGATTGTAGATATCACATAACTGGTTAGTGGTTGACCTACCCCTCTGAAAAACGATGGAGTTCGTCAGTTGGGATGATGATATTCCCAACTGAATGGAAAAAACATGTTTGAAGCCACCAACCAGATAGGAATTGGATCGAACATAAATAGAAATGTGGAAAATTCCCAGTTTGTCCTCGGGTTGACATGTTAAAAACATGTCCAAACAATGCGGGGATGTTGGATACCCATATCCCATATCTCATATCCTGGTGGGTGTAATAATTCACTATTGACATGTCACAATGACATTATAGTCCGATTACCATCCAATAAAGGAAAGATAATAGTATACCAACACTTGATTAGCATGTAAAAGGTGTTTAGCGTTCTCTATCTGTTTGGGATTATTGTATACATAAATGCCTTCCCCCCAAAACATTGAATACCACCAAACGCAGCCATGTTTTAGTATAGTATTGGATCTATAGTCATTGTCAGGTCCCAAACATTTCGGCTATTTACTTATTGTTTTACATATAATTTTTGATATTTTATTATTATATATACATATATATATATGAACTGTATATGTACTGTAGTATATACATTTGTATACATGTTATTTCATTTTATGTCTTTATCATGTTCGGTTATGCTATCCTCATTTCTGAGACATGTTTCCCCGTCCATGGGTAAACCTATAGATAATGTGATATGAAACGAAATGCGGTATATCATGGTATGAATCCATGTTTGTGTCCCCATGCTATTGAAAATGATCATTTATAGTGGATTTACCCATTAAAAATGATGATTTTCCTTAGTGTTAGTTTACCAGAGGGTATCCCAAAAACTGTTGTATGTTTTTTCATCACCGTGTTACATCCATTGTGATAAAATGCCCATGTCGGATGCTGTCACTCATCATGGCCAATCAGCCAGATACCCTGCAAAAAAACATCTTAGCTGGTTAGTAAGTAGATAATCTCATACCAAAATACCAAAAGACTAGTTAGGATTGGTTTGTACCCATCCAAGATTGACCTAGCTATAGAGAATTCAAATAGATATCGTGATGTCACAACTATAGGATCTGGTTGGTGGTTTGAACCCCTCTGAAAAATATGAAAGTCAGTTGGGATGATGACTTTCCCAATATATGGAAAGTCATAAAATTCATCTTCCAAACCACCTACCAGCATTCATTAACTAGTTCGTTATATCTACCATAAACCCAATCGAATTCAGCCACTTATAGGTTCCAAACCACCAACCAGGGATTAGAAACTCTACCCATTCAGTCGATTGCCGTCATATCAAGCCCTTCGCCTTCTGGGAAGTTGTGCAACGCAATCGCTGCCCCAGAGAAGGCCGCCATCTGCAGCATATTCCTCAGGTCGTGCCACTAAGATAGTGAACTTGCTGCAAACCAGGTGAATTCTAGTAGTTAAACTAGTGAAAGGGGTTTATAAGATTTTATACAGCAAGTGATATAACCAGGTGAATTTTATTATATAGTTGAACTATTGTTCAATTCTATTTGTTGAACTAGTGAAATCGAGTGAAATGATAAAAACACTCTAAAACTAGGGTTTATGGATGTAAGAATGGTTAGTTTATGGATTTAACAATGGCGAACAAAAACCCGATAAGTTGGGATATGGGGCCCCTATAAAATATTGATATGTATATATAGTATATACAGTATATATGTATATATATATAGTGTATCTATAATATATATATATATATATTGTATATAGTGTATAATATATATATATACGTATATATATATATGGTCCCGTGTCCCGTGTTCCCACCCTCCGTATGATGCCCCTGTGGTGGTGGTACGTATGTATGTATGCATGGATGTATGTATCTATGTATGTATGCATGCATGCATGTATGTATGCATGCATGTATATTTATATCTATATACATGTTACATGCATTTCTCTATGATAGTGTATGTGTACGTACACGCATATGTACATATATACATACATACATACATACCTACATACCTACATACCTACATACCCGCATACCTACCTACCTACCTACCTACCTACCTACCTACCTACATACATACATACATACACACATACACACACACAGACATACATACATACCTACCTACCTACATACCTACATACCTACGAACCTACGTACCTACGTACCTACGTACCTACGTACACACGTACACACGTACATACATACACACAGACATACATACATACATACATACATGCATGCATGCATGCATGCATGCATGCATGCATGCGTACATATATCCATACATACACCCATCCATCCATACATACATTCATTCAAACTTACATACTCACATACCAACATACATACCTACATACATACCTACATACATACCAACATACATACCAACATACATACCAACATACATACCAACATACATGCCAACATACATACCAACATACATACCAACATACATACCAACATACCAACATACATACCAAATCATACCAACATACCACCACCACAGGCCACAGCGGGGGGGTGGGGACCAGAAGAACCATACCACCACCACAGGCCACAGGGGGGGGTGTGACAGAAGAACCAACGGATAGCTGTCCACCATACCCATTGGTATGGGGGAGGGGAGGGGGGGCTGGCCAACTCTTCACCATATAATATATATAATATATATAATATATATAATATATATATAATATATATATATATATATTATATATGTTATATATATATTATATATATATATGTTATATATATATATTATATATATGTTATATATATATCCACTTTGAACTCACGATACTGGATGAATCTAGGTTTATGGAATTCCACCCCTTCTGGCAATCACTTGCCTGGTGAAGCATGGGTTTCTACGATCCAAACATATGGAGGTTCAAGCGTGTTCCCTGAAGCCATTGCGGAGAACCGATGGTAAAATCCTGGTTTCAATACGAAACTACCCTCTGGTAATTTAACATAGCTATTGAAAATGGACATAGAAATAGTTCATCTACCCATTAAAAATGGTGATTTCCCATAGTTTTTGGTATGGTTACCAGGCCGGGCAATCTACTGTGGTAAACAAGAACGACACAACGAGTTCGTTCCGCGGTTCACTTAAAAATGTGGTCATGTTGAGAGGATCATCGGAATCGATTTCCTGGCTCATAAGCCAAAAATGCTCTTCCCCGTGGCTTCTCCCATGTTAGCCAAGTTTATCGTCCTCATAGCCTCATAGTTAGCCAAGTTGGTGAACAGAACTCCATTTTTGCTTGGGGGTTATGTTCACCAACGTTCACAAAAAACGCGCGGATCACCCCACGGGCACCACTGAAAAAGGATTGGACTTGAGCCCGTCAGGACTTGAACATTCAATACCCCCAACGTTATCTCGGGGGCCCCATCCTGGAGAAAAGATGGGAAAATCGTTTTGAAATGGAGGCTTTTATGGGAAACTATGGGGAAATCATGGGAAAATCATAGGAACCTATGGAGGTACCTACCATATATAAGGCCTATGTAAGGCCTATGTAAGTGAATATCACCACAAAATATGGCCTTATATGGTACTAACGTACCTCCATTTTAGGATCCTGGAATTCCCATTCATTGGTTGTTTCATATGTTGATTTGTGGGTGGGTTCACGATTCCCCATTTTTAGATATTATCCGGTAAGCTAATCACATCCGAACAATTAAACAAAAAAGCTCATGAACCAGGGTCCACTGGTCACAGTGAAACAGGAAACACAGTACATGCTACCAGCTGTTTCTCCGACAGTGGGTGGCAAAAAATATGAATTTCACACGCAAAAAACCAGCGATATTTCTGGATCTGTCATCCAGTTCCATCTCAGACAATAAATTATTCCCATGGAACATCTATAAGTATATAGTATATATACGTATATATAGCTATCCACAGAAAGATGCAGACAAGTTATTTCCGGGACGGTATAGAAGAGGTTTTCCCCATAGTTTCCGACGTTTCCTTTTGGGTTTTGCTATATTCTATGACAGTTTTGGTTTTGCAAGGTGGTGCCCCCGTTCGATAGCGTTCAGTTGGTGCAAATAACTCCAAAACCTAACTATGGTTTATAGGTGATATATCTATAGGTGATACATCTATATATATATATATCTGTTTTGTAATTTACCCAGATAACTCTAATAACTATGGTTTATTCAAGATGGATCTATATAGTTTTCATGTGGATTATAAACCAATTTATGGGGGGGCACCACATTGTGGTCGCTGAGTTCCGAAAAATCCCAGCGTCACTCGTTCCATGCCACTCAAGGGCTTTTGCTGGCCAGACTGGCAGCTGAAAACGGCTAAATTGATACGGGATCACCTTAAAAAAAGTAGCCTCTGGTCAACTAAACATACAAAAACCTATGGAAAATCACAGTAATTTGTGGTCAATCACTATGAAAAACTGGGATATGTATATATATATATAATTATATATATATGTGAATTATATCATAATTAGTGGTCAATAATGGGATAGATCATGGGAATATAATTCAATATAATTATTGGGGATATTATATCAACTATCGTAGGGATTTCATACCCTCTGGTCAACTAAGATAGCTATAGAAATTCACCATTTTGAATAGGTCAATCAACGAACTAAATGGGGGATGTTCAATAGCTATGTTAAATTACCAGAGGGTACCTGGTAAGGAAGTTTTATCACCCAGTTATGAATATGATAAATGATTGATACATGGTATATACATGGTATACCCCCTGGCAATCTAACTTAGCGATGGAAAATTGTTCAAAATTGCAATGTTGCTGCAATAGGTTAAATCACTTACAAATGGGTCATGTTCCATGGTTATGTTGAATTACCAAAGGGTAATTAGTTGAATAACCTGGTTTTGACTTCCAATTCATGGGTGGAACAAGTCTGAAACTCCGCCACATGAAAAACCAATGTGATAACAATTATATAGGCCAATCTGGTAAACTAACATAGTTATTGAACATCACCATTTATAGTGGATTTACCATTGAAAATGGTGATTTTCCATAGTTATGCTAGTTTGCCCGAGGTTAATTGATTGCTATAAGGGTTTATACTACCTGGTTTACTGGGGATTATGATGGGCCCCATAGTAGGGAAACCTATCAACCAACTAATGGGATAGGGGTATTTTTAATGGCTCATATGAAATTGAAATATCACCAGGAGTTGGTTTCTAGCCACTACACACCCAAACGGAATATCGGTTTGCATATGTTCAACCATTCAGCTCTGCAACATTTCATGAGTTTTCTCGCCTGGGTCATTTGCACTTCCACGTCGGATGCCTGCAAGCAGAAGAAACTTGTGGAGTGGTCTCACCCCTGAGAAGTAAGTCAATAAGAACAACTTGGTGGTGTATAAAACCTACAATGTGGGGCCCCCCAGTTATAAGTTGGTTTACAAGCCCCATTAACTATAGTTATACTTACCATAAACCATAGTTATTGGAGTTATAAACCAGCTTAGCTATCGAACGGGGGCCCCACATTGTTATGATCAGTTTGAGTGAATGAACTTTCAAACCATCCATCCAAGGAGTTTGCAATCCAGCGACAAAGGAGTGGCACTTTAGCAGAAAAGAAAGAGTGGAAATTGCTTGTAGAAACAGAGAGTTGAGCGACAAGACCCTGGAGAATTCACCACAGAAAATGGGAAGTGTAGCTTACTCCACGTGCTGCTGCTTTCTTTTCCTTTTCATGGTCATGGTCTTGGTTTTTTGTTGTCCCCATTCTCCGGCATGGTCTCCGGCATGAGGGCTATTGTATGTTCCCCATGTTCGTTGCCACTACTCCACCTTCAAACTTGCGAAAGCAACCGACAATGACGATGGAACATCGGGCATTTACAGATGAATGTCCAACAGCATCCACCAGCATATAACTATCGTAGCTATCATTACAATTATCATTAACCATCATTAGCTATCATTAACAAACAAATAATCAAACCACCGCCCTTAGGTATTTTCCAGCCACGCTTGACACCAGAGGGTAGAGTTTACAGCATGGGAAGCCTACCCAAAGCCAGTTCGGACAGGTCGTTGGGCTTAAAATTATGCCACAAACTCCCACTTTTACTGGTTAGATCATGTGTTCCGGGCTCTTGTGCGACAAGACACATACGTGCCTTGTACTGACGGACCCTCCCGCTCTGAATCTCTTCGCGGGTTCGCTTGATCGCCGGCAAGACTGTGTTTCCCAACACAGTGATCCAAATGCACTTGGGAGTCAAGTCTTGCACAGCGCAATTGTATGCGAAATGAGCGTCCATTCCCAGACGCTGAAGCAGTGTCATCCCCGACTTCCTGGCCTGTTTCATGTAAGACCTGGCGTGGTTCTTCAACACCGCAGCTGATCGAACCATTGAGGTTCCCTGGGTAGACCCGGTCACATTGTCGTCGCCAAGCATGTCGAGCGTCACAGTCATCTTGACTAACACCACCATAATACCATACCAAGACATAAGTCTTTAGCTAGTTAATCAATACAAATTCCCGTGGCCAACAAAAACGAAGGATTAAACTACCAATCGAACATGTTCGCAGTTTTGGAAATTCACTGAAAATTATAAGAGTAACTAAGGCAATTCGGGGATACACCATATACAAGTCCCATCATTCCAGTGACTTTACTTTAAGGTCACAACATAATTTATCTAGGTTTATGTTTGGTTTAATCGATATTACTCCCTATTAATCACCATTCATCACCATTGGACCACCATGAATCACCATTAAACCAGCAGTAAATGACCATTGAGTCACTATGAGAGTGATATATGTATATAAATGTAGGTAAATTGTAATACTTCAAGAAATATGTAGTGAAATAAGGAATATAAGACTAATTAATATTGGGATAATTCCCCACATTAATCATTATTCCAATGAGGACGCAGTGAGGCTGTTATAACTTACCCATATATATATATGTATATACATACATACATATAATCTCAGTTATTTAGGGGTTCCAACCCACTTACCCTCTGGTAAAGTAAGAATTTGTTTTGTAGAATGACCATGTTCAATCTGTATTTTCATTGTGTAAATCAACTATAAATAGATATCAATAAATATCAATATCAATAATAGATATCAATATCCGATATCAATTTCAATATCAATAGATAAATCAACTATGTAATTTTCAATATCAATAGATATCAATAGCTATGTTAGTTTTATGTCACTTTTCAAGGGCAAATACTTGGCCCCTCAAAAGGGTCCCGGCCTGCACCTTCTGCTCCTCACAAGGCGACAACGTTGGGAAAATCGTTGTGATTTTGAAGCAACCCTAGCTGGGTCCCCACCTCTAAGGGTTTACACCCCCAAACGAAGGTGAAGTTGACGCAAATAACGTGGTGAAATATGGCGATTTTCGTCAAAACCCTACATAGGTACCCTAAAATAGCAATGGATGTTCATCCCACTAAAATTGATAAAAATAGGTTTTGACACACACCCATATATGGTTTATAGTGGTTACGACTGTAATTTAGTTTGGTTTGTAAACCTACTTAAAACTAAGAGGCCCACATTGGAAGTGAAATGAGAATCAACTGGTTATGGCCCAATGGCAATTGGTAAATCTTTATGCTTGGCAAATTGGGAGATAGAATCATCTAATATAAGCGAATCATAATAAGCAAATCAGAACATCCAGGGATCAAGGGATCAATAGATCTGTTTGGTCACCAAATATAGGGGGATTGAGCAAAATTCTCCTGAAACAAATTCTCGGCTGTATAGTTCTATGTTTCTATTCGCTTGATATAGGCATTCACTGTAAAAAAAACAGTGACAGCAGCAATAGATATAGCTTCCCTGGGATTAGCAGCATGCCATTCTCAGTTTTATTGTTTTGGGTAAAGGGGACCAAGTAATGCCGCCACATGCATCAACAATCATTAATATATACTGTAAACAAATTCTGATGAAACCTGTTCTGCTTACCATTATTTTAACCTTCACCCATGTTTCCTAACTCATCGTTGGCTCCATTTATCCCTTATCTCTTCAAAAATGCGCATCCAAGCAAGCTAGCCAAGACCGCCTACCAACTGCACAGCTGTTGATTGAACTAGTTGGTCAGCGTTTTCAGAAGGCTTAGGTGTTCCTTGAAGATGGTAGAAATGTACTCCTGACTTTGATGACACTCACCACACGATCCTTCTTCTTGTCCTTCTTCAGAAACATACCCTCCGGTAATTCAACATAGCTATTGAGAATGGCCATAGAAACGGTTGATTTACCTATAAAAAATGGTGATGTTCCATAGCTATGTTCAATTACCAGAGGGTATGAAATCCCTATTATAGTTGATATAATTTCCCCAATATATTGAATTATATTCCAATAATATTCCCATGATCTATCCCATTAAATTATTAACCACTAATTATTACCAGAGGGTACCTCTTCAAAGTCTAAAGGTTCTCAGCCATCACAGGCCCGTTGACCCAATGACGGCCCCCAAGACTCATAACTGGATCCGTTCAAGGCCGCCAACCAAAAAAAAACATACAAGGTGCTGCGCCCCAGTTGTAAATTGGTTATACGCCCATTACCTATAGATATATCTGGGTAATTGGATGAATAAACCATAGTTATTAGAGTTATCTGGGTAAATTACAAAATAGATATATAGATGTATCACCTATAGATATATCACCTATAAATCATAGTTAGTTTTTGGAGTTATAACCCAACTTAGCTATCTGGGGGGCACCACCTTGTAGCTATGGAAAATCACAGTTTTTAAACATAGCCATAATGGTAAGTAATGGTGAGTAGCTACTTTGGTAATTTATATCCAGGGGTAAATGATGTAGTAGCTACTATGGTGATTTCCATGGCCATGTTAACCTTCATAAAGCTATGGTGAATTTGAAAGGCATTATATCCCCATGCCATACAATCATATACTGGTTGGTTTAATACTAATCCCCATTGATATCCCAGAAAATTCCATAAATCCTCCGAATAGATAAAGGTTATATCCACATGATCTCTCATGTTCTTTGCTTCCTATTATATAAATAAAACAACATATTCAAACCAATATTGTCCTTTTAGGAAAAAACAGAGGAGCCGGTTTGGTATACTAGCTATGATATGTTGTGATCATCTAGCATCATATACCTATTGGTTGAATGAGGGGAACCCTTTATTAATCAACAAACCAGTGGGAAAAGGGCATCTGCGATTCAAACTGTATACATCAAATTCCATAAATATGGCCTATTGAAACTCAATAGGTCAACTAGCCTCCGGTAATTCAACATAGCAATTGAGAATGGCCATAGAAACGGTTCATTTACCTATAAAAAATGGTGATGTTTCATAGCTATGTTCAATTACCAGAGGGTATGAAATCCCTATGATAGTTGATATAATTTCCCCAATATATTGAATTATATTCTAATAATATTCCCATGATCTATCCCATTATTAACCACTAATTATTACCAGAGGGTACCTCTTCAGAGTCTAAAGGTTCTCAGCCATTTCCGATAAAAACCGCACACGTGTCACCTGGTTGTCTGGAGAAATGGCACGGGCCAGTTGATCTGGATCCTGAGGGGACCAAGGGCTGGGACATGTTGCGATCCATGGGAAACATGCGATCGAACGGGACAATGATTAAAAACATCCTGACTATTCGATCTACTTCAGGATGATTGTATGTATATATATATATATAATATATATATATATATTGGTGGTTTCTTAGTCCCAACTTAACTTGTGTGTGTTCTTTTTTACCAACGAAACTAGGGGTAATTTCTTGATCTGTTGATCCCAGCAACCCAGGAAGCCCAGGCAGCCCATGGTGCACACAGCGATAGGATTGTTCTGCATAGCATCCTTCTGGGTAATTGAAATAATATTTCACTAACCTGAATAGTTGGGCCATTTGGGGATGATTTCCCTTACGAACTATGATTTCCAGGGCTCGGTCGCAGTGAGGTCGTGATGAAATTTACCCAGATCCTTCACCTGGTGGATGCGCCACACATCTTGCCGCAATGGGTGGGCCTGTGTGGGCCTTTAAATGTCCCAAGCTTGGCTGTGGCAATGCCAAATGATCAGCTGGTTGGTGGTTGACCTACCCCTCTAGAAAATATGAAAGTCGTCAATGGGAAGGATGACATCCCATATATATATATATGAAATGGAAAATAAAAGATCTTTGAAACCACCAACCAGTGATCTGCTCCTTGTCTACCACCCAAACCGCGCCATCTAAGGAACAATCTCCAGATTGGATGGCTCAACTCATAGCCATCCCACAATGTCAGCAGCAAATATTCGAAGGACACCAAGCAGCACTGTCATCTCGATCCGATAAAAATGTTCCGGACTGTTTTGGGGTATCTGAAAAATTGATGTTAGAAGTAGTTCACTTCTACATGGCATAACTATGGTTAATAATGCTTAATAGTGGTTCATAATGGTTTATAATGGCATACCCTCTGGTAAACATACAAAAACTATGGAAAATCATCATTTTTAATGGGTGTATCCGCTATTTCTATGGACATTGTCAATAGCTTTTGTAGACTTTCGAGTGGCTATGTTTTAAGGAGGCCACAAGTGTTTGGGCCTACCTTTTGAAAATCGGCTGGGTGGTACATGAAAAAACGCTTTGAAAAGTGTCTCAACTACTTCTTGTGGTGCTAATTCCTGAAACATAAAAAACTTTGGATTGCACTATTTTTAGGCATCATAACTTGGGGACTATGAACATTTACATATTTCTTGTGCAGAGGAGCACTGCAAAAATGGGGGTGTTTACCCCCAGGGGTCACCCGCGGTCCGCTTTCATCTCAACCACGATTTGATTGGTCACATTGTCCAGCTTGATTTCACACATGTGAAGATCAGTTAAGGTTCACATTTTTGCCGAACTTAACCAATTTTTGACCAACCTGACCAACTTTTGAGCAACTTGACCAATTTTTCACCAGCATGACCAAGTTGGTCAATTTCTGACCAACTTGACCAACTCTTGACCTACTTCACCAAGTTGGTCATTTTTGACCAACTTGACCAACTTTTGACCAACTTGACCAAGTTGGTCAATTTCTGACCAACTTGACCAAGTTGGTCAATTTTTGACAAACTTGACCAACTTTTGACCAACTTGATCAAATTGGTCATTTTTGACCAACTTGACCAACTTTTGACCAACTTGACCAACTTTTGACCAACTTGACCAACTTTTGACCAACTTGGCAAACTTTTGACCAAGTTGGTGACTTTTCACGAACTTGACCAACTTTTGACCAAGTTAGTCATTTTTGACCAACTTGACCAATTTTTGGCCAAGTTCGTCATTTTTTACAAATTTTGTCAATTTCTGGCCAAGTTGGTGATTTTTGACCAACTTGACCAACTTGACCAACGGTTGGCCAAGTTGGTGATTTTTTGAACAACTTGACCAACTTTTGGCCAAGTTAGTCATTTTTGACCAACTTGACCAACTTTTGACCAAGGTGGTCATTTTTGACCAACTTGGCCAAAAATTGGCCAAGTTGGTGTTTTTTGACCAACTTCGTCAATTTTTGGCCAAGTTTGTGATTTTTGACCAACTTGGTCAACTTTTGACCAAGTTGGTGATTTTTGACCAACTTGGTCAATTTTTGGCCAAGTTAGTGATTTTTGAACAACTTGGTCAACTTTTGACCAAGTTGGTAATTTTTGACCAACTTTGTCAATTTTTGGCCAAGTTGGTGGTTTTTGACCAACTTAGTCAATTTTTGACCAAATTGGCCAAGTTGGTGATTTTTGACCAACTTGGTTAATTTTTGGCTAAGTTGGTGATTTTTGACCAACTTGGTCAATTTTTGACAAAGTTGGTCATTTTTGACCAATTTGACCAGATTGACCAACTTTTGACCAAGTTTACCAACTTTTGACCAACTTGACCAATTTTTGACCAACTTTACCAACTTTACCAACTTTTGACCAACTTTACCAATTTTTGACCCTTTTGACCAACTTTACCAACTTTTGACCAACTTTACCAACTTTTGACCAACTTGATCAACTTTTGACCAACTTTACCAACTTTTGACCAACTTTACCAACTTTTGACCAACTTTTGACCAACCTGACCAACTTGACCAACTTGACCAACTTAAGGGCACAAGAAGTGTTTGCAGCCAAATTTAGACCATTCAGAAGTAGTTTTGCTGGTAAATTTTTCAAAATTTACCACGAAAACTACTTCTGAATGGTCTAAATTTGGCTGCAAACACTTCTTGTGCCCTTAAGTTGGTCAAGTTGGTCAAGTTGGTCAGGTTGGTCAAAAGTTGGTAAAAAGTTGGTAAAGTTTGTCAAAAGTTGGTAAAGTTGGTCAAAAGTTGGTCAAGTTGGTCAAAAGTTGGTAAAGTTGGCCAAAAGTTGGTAAAGTTGGTCAAAAGTTGGTAAAGTTGGTCAAAAGTTGGTCAATCTGGTCAAATTGGTCAAAAATGACCAACTTTGTCAAAAATTGACCAAGTTGGTCAAAAATCACCAACTTAGCCAAAAATTAACCAAGTTGGTCAAAAATCACCAACTTGGCCAATTTGGTCAAAAATTGACCAAGTTGGTCAAAAATCACCAACTTAGCCAAAAATTAACCAAGTTGGTCAAAAATCACCAACTTGGTCAAAAAATTGGCAAAGTTGGTCAAAAATCACTAACTTGGCCAAAAATTGACCAAGTTGGTCAAAAATCACCAACTTGGCCAATTTGGTCAAAAATTGACTAAGTTGGTCAAAAACCACCAACTTGGCCAAAAATTGACAAAGTTAGTCAAAAATCAACAACTTGGCAAAAAATTGACCAAGTTGGTCAAAAATGACCAATTTGGTCAAAAATTTGCCAGGTTGGTAAAAATGACCAACTTGGTCAAAAGTTGGTCAAAAATGACCAACTTGATCAAGTTGGTCAAAAGTTGGTCAAGTTGGTCAAAAATGACTAATTTGGTCAAAAGTTTGTCAAAAGTTGGTCAAGTTGGTCCAAAATGACGAACTTAGTCAAATTTTGGCAAGTTGGTCAAAAATGACAAATTTGGTCAAAAGTTGGTCAAGTTGGTCAAAAATTACCAACTTGGTCAATTTGGCCAAAAGTTGGTCAAGTTGCTCAAAAATGACCAACTTGGCCAAAAGTTAGTCAAAAGTTGGTCAAGTTGGTCAAAAATGTCAAACTTGGTCAAGTTGGTCAAAAATTACAAATTTGGTCAAAAGTTGGTCAAGTTGGTGAAAAATTGACCAACTTGGTCAAGTTGGTCAAAGGTTGGTCAAGTTGGTCAAAAGTTGGTCAAGTTGGCCAAAAAATTGACCAACTTGGTCAAATTGGTTAAAGGTTGGTTGGGTTGGTCAAAAATGACTAAGTTTCTCAATTTGTCACCAACTTGACCAAATTTTGACCAACTTGACCAAGTTGGTCAATGTTTGACCAACTTGACCAAGTCATTGGGACGCCTGTGTCCCCAAACTGATTTCACATGGTTTAACTATGCTTAGCTAAGCGCATGCATGTTCTGATTACAAACAGAAAAGGAAATGAACCAGAAATTGCCAACGAAAGGATGAACTGCAGGTGGAAGGTGCTCAAAATGTACCAAAACAACCCTCGTATGGAAATAAAGGCTTCACAAGTGGTTGTGCCCAACACCCCTCTGCCGTCAGTTGACAAAAAGCATTCCAACAGGGCAATACTACTTCTTGGTGCACTATTTTTTTTAAACCTTAAAACGAGGCAACTTGAAATTCTACAATAGCTATGTTAGTTTACCAGAGGGTAGAAGTAGTTCACCAAAAGAAACATGAAGTACGTATAGTTATCTACCATAAACCAAAGTTACCCTCTGGTAAACATACAAAAAACTGTGGACAATCACCATTTTTAATGGGTAAATCAACTATTTCGACTGGGCCATGTTCAAGTTCGCAAATTGTTTTATCGTTTACCAAAGGGTGTCAATAATGTTGGTGATACCATCTGCTTATGACTAACATATCCATGGTTAAGCCATGGCCCATAGAAATAGATGGTTTACCTGGTTTACCTGGATAAACACCCATTAAAAATGGTGCTTGACCTAGCCCTCCGAAAAATGATGGAGTTCGTCAGTTGGGATGATGACTTTCCCAACTGAATGGAAAAAAAATGTTCCAAACCACCAACCAGATATTAGATTTACTACATTCCACAATTTGCTGCTAATTATACCAAAACATAGTTTATTGTCTAATCCATCCAGTGACCGCTAGAAATACGTGCAATGTTGTGCCCCTCAATGTTAGAACTTGGCTTATAAGTCCATGAACTATAGATATGTTCGACCGTTAAACCCACCTGACATCTTAGTTGTAATGTAACTTAACTGATTTTGGGGCAGGACCTTGTGGACATGACATGAATTCAAATTAGGCTCTTAAACAAGACCACAAAAGTACTTCAATGTGAAATATGTTTGCCGAATTTTGCCGCCACAGGCGCAGGGATGAACCCAACTTGTAGCCCTGTTGATGAACTCAGAAAAAGGTTAAGATTATCCACCCCACCCCAAACCAATAGCTCAACACTGAGAATTTGGATATTGGGTTCATTGGACGTATCTTATACCCCAAGTTGGTCCAAACTGTAGCTAGGTTTTGTCATGAGATATTCACCAAGCACCAAGCACCTTGAATGCGTGTCCCAGTCCCAGACATCGGAATATATCATTATATATCCATACAATGTGGGGCCCCCCAGTTGTAAGTTGATTTATAAACCCCATGAATACTATAGTTATAAGTACCATAAACATCCATAAACCATAGTTATTGGAGTTATAAACCAACTTAGCTATCGAACGGGGCCCCACATTGTATACAAGCCACTGCTCCAACTGGGAATATTTCGCATGGTTTGCCAACCATCTTAATCAGTGTACATGGGTCATATCATAACATCATGCCATATCATCATTTTTGTTTGTCGACACCACAATCTTAAAGGTGAAATACCACATGTTGCGTTGAAGTCTAGTTTTTGATGGTTCAATCAAAAATGTGTATGTGTGTCCCTTCAATCACCATTTTCGTAGGTCAAAACCCACCTAACTTGTTTTTTGGGCAATTAGATCTCACAACCACCGTAAGCATGTTGTTTTTTTCCAATATGCAACCCATCGTTCTGACCTGGAATACTTCATGACTGGATTATTGTGGTTCTGTATCAATGCAAATATATGGATTCATAACTGGTTGGTGGTTTAAACCCCTCTGAAAAATATGAAAGTCAGTTGGGATGATTATTCCCAATATATGGAAAATTGAAAAATGTTCCAAACCACCAACCAGATAAGCACTTCCTATTCATTACGAATGTGTATTACCATTTCTGTTGGCTTACCCCGCAGCGCAGTAGGTAAAATTTTCACCATTTTACTTGGTGAAATCATTTGAAATCCCATTTTGGATCGTTCAGTCACCATGTGTCTGTGTGTGTGTCCCTTCAATCGCCCTTTTTAGTAGGTCAAAAACCACCTAACTGTTTGTTTTTTTCTGATTCCCCAATTTTGTTTTAATTTATAATACATGTTTTTGGTGTTTAATCATGATTCCATTAGTAAACCTATTTTTCTATATGAGCCATGGTCAATACTCACTATATGGTTGATGGTCATCCCATCCATAATAAGGATCCAAAAATCATGGTTATTATAAATCCCGATTGGAACCATTGGATGACTAGCCCCGTTTTTAATGGTTATTAACCATGAGTATTGACCATAGCTCATATTTGCGTTGGGTAAATCCCATAACTATGGTTTATGGCAGATATAACGAACTAGTATTCATTGGGTTTATAAACCCACTAACAAAACTGGGGGGCACCATCCTGTAGTAAACCTCTATTTTTATATGTTTTTGTTTTTTTTTTTGGCGTAAAATACCGGACCTTCCAGATCCTCCAGGTCAGACTGCCGAGGTGCCTGATGCGCTTGGGCCACTTCTTGCGCGCTGCCGTGGTGAAAGGCTTTATTCTCCATGGAATGTCTCCTGGGCGGCGACTCCATAATAAGCATAGTTATACACCCATAGTAAAAGCTATAATAACCATACATTAAAAGCTGGTGCCCCCGTTCGATAGCTAAGTTGGTGTATAGCTCCAATAACTATGGTTTATAGGTGATATATCTATGGTTAATGGGGATTATAAACCATTATGACTCGGGGGCACCACCTTGTACCATTCACGAGCTATGACCTGGTTGGTCCGGTGGCGTCACTCGGCTGCGGTTTTGGACCGCTTGTTTGTCAGTAGTGCTTCGATCCGGGACATCTGTTCTTCCATTTTCTGTTCACCCACCGGGCTGACTCGGTCGCTCGGACTCCTCTTGCAAGGAGCCCGGCTCCGTCGGGTCCCACGACCACCCTTCGAGGACTTCCACCGCCGTCAGCTCGGGGTGCCGGTCGGTGAAAAGCATTTGGTACAGCGTCATGCTTGAAAATCCTCACACAGGGGGGTTCCATAAAAATAGGGGTACCCCAAGCTCGCTGGATGGTTTATTCCATGGAAAATCCCAAAATAGCATGGAAAAACTTTCGGGGTATCCCCATGACTTATTAGGAACCCCCCACATGGAGGTTTTCATGATCAAAAAATGGGACAAAAACATCTGGAAAATCCCTTCTAAATAGATCTAGCTATGGTAATCGGCCACTGCAGGCCTGGGATCTTGGGGTATAACGTATAACCATTTCATCTGAGAATCTAATCGGAATATGTATGGATATGATACATCTATATATGTATATATTGTATAAGACTATAAAACTATCAATGTTATTTGGGGGTGCAGGATTGGTATTAGTTTTGATGGGTATAACCATGGGATTCTAACCTCCAAAAGTTATAAGCTGGGATAGGGGGCCCCGAACTGCACCGCACCCCCAGGTGGTCATCAAACATGGCTGGGACATCTGATGTTTATTGGGCTCGGTTTGAGTGGGGAAAATCATGGAACATCTGTGAAAGTCCCCCCCGAATAGAGGCTTAACTGG